TCTATTATTGGGATGCTGATGCCCATTCGAGGCAACCATGCAAGCCATGATACATATGTATATGTATATACATAATACTCAAGCACTTCACACAAACACAATAACATACACACACACATACACTCATTTATAAATAATTAGAATTGAAAGTTACACCTGCATTCACCACGAACTGAACTTCTCATTAAGCTCTTAAAAACTTGAGGCTCTCCAAACTACTTACAATAGATATTTATTGCGCCCTAATCGAAAGAGTAAAGCCTCCTCGGCATAGCATACTTACCATAAAAAGATCACCTAACATTTTTAAGTGTCTTTTAATTTAGGTTCACAAGCAAATTAAAAACGAAAATAAATAAAAACAACGCTGTGCTTCATTTCAATTACTATATGTTGCAGGTCCACTTAAAAGGCAATAGCTACAGGCACATTCCCTAAACACCAATCGAATACTAATTAAGTGTGAGAAGTTAGGAGATCCCTGAATGAGTGTCAAATGCAGTTTCAGTTCAGCACGCACTAACCCACATACTTACACAAAAATGGTGGAGCCAAATCGTCCACAAGACACATAGCACATAGCATGACATAACAGATAATTTACCCGTAGCTGTAAAGAGGATGGCGAGAGATATAAAATATTATGAATAATAAGGATAAGTAATTGTTGTTGTGTCTTCATACAAACCTTTAACAATCTTTACAAGTTTAAGAATCGACAGAGAAGAAACAAGTAATTCGTTTTCCGTTATGTTTTCAACGCACCTTGTTTCGTTCTCCATTGTTGACATTTTTTACTGTTATGCCAAACATTTAAAATACCTATCTAAGTACGTATTTAAGATTACAAATACTTGAGTTTGTTTGCCAGCAAACCGCTCCCTCAGTTCCGCTTCGACTACCAACTACTAGCTAGTTCAACTGGTTCTACTATTTAGAATAATATACATATACTTGTATGTATTTATATATAGGAGTACTCGTACGTCACGTGTATTTATTCAAAATATGAACACCATATGAAAAGGTACAAATCGGGCACACTGCGAGGGACGCACCCTCTGGGGCCGGCCAAGGGGCTGTGGCTGGAGCAGGTGAAAACAAAACACACCCACACACATTTACAGAAGAGTGTAAAACTAACATAAATACGAATATAAGTTCTGCATTCAAATTACAAAGGCAAAATAAAAAATACAATTTTTAAAAATAATAACCACCCAATTAAGTGTCGTCGTGTATATTCATGTTAGACTTACCGATCATTACATATAGTATACAGCTACATAAACATATGCGATACCGATTAAATAAAAAGAATATGCAACTTAAACGTTTATCTTCAACCAATTTTTTGACAATTAAATACATTGAAGAAAAAAGCAATGCAAACAAAACCAAACCAAACTACGTGGGGCAGTAATTTGTATTATACCTATCTACATATATACAAGCAAACCTATACATAGTTATATATATATATATACTATATATACATAAAATACAAATATAAGTGTGAAGCAGTTAAACCATAGTTGAGAAACACACAGTGAGGAATTTCTATATACAAACAAGTATATGGTGAGAAGACAGAATTTTCGAAAGAGCCAGAAAAGTATTTACAAAAAAAAACCAAAAAAACAAATAAGAAAAACCATCAAAACTACCGAGGACCCAAGAAACAAAATCATACACACATACTTGCAAGCATTTTTAAATGAGAGTAAACAAAATAGTCGGTCGGAAATAAACCGCAACTTGTTAGGACAAGTTGTTGTCGACAAATTAACGTGAGAATCGTGTACCTACAAAGCAAGGAAGCAAAACAAAAGAGAAAACCGAAACTCAAAGAGAAAGTATATATATTTTTTGCAGAGGAAACGTGTAACAATTAAACTACAAGAAATTGCAGACATTTTAAAATTAAATACATACATATATACAATATAGTAGAGTTTTTAAAATCAAGAACGAACCGGCAAAGCAAAACGCAGGCATCTAAAAGCTTCAACTATAGACAGAGCCAATCTACATATACATATATATACAACTCTATTGCATACAATGTACAGACACACACACACACACACACATACATGCACACGACCCATGCTACTTACAAAGGACACAATTACCTACATACTGGCAACACACAAACAGATACAAGTATGTACATACATATGAATGACATATTGTTGCTCAGTTGGCTTTTTATGCATCGCGCGACTATTTTTTGTATTTGTAAGGTACTAAGATTCCCAAACCTAAAATCGATCTATTTAAATAATGAGAGTAAGAACGAGAACAAGATTGAAGTGGGAGTGCAAAAATGTAGCATACTTTCCAGCGTACGCATGGATTGTTTCTTCAATTAAATGTCACAGAGTCTTCATTTAGGCCTGCATTATAGAAAACAACAACCAACTAAACCAACCAAGCAAACAAATAAACAACATATATAAATGTGCACATTTTGTACCAAAATATATATGTACATAATATATGTATATACACACACATGTATGTAACTATCAATCCGTATACATATACATAAGCAGATCCGAAACAGTCGCCCATCAAAGAAAGCAAAAAGCCGTGTCATTACTCCGACAGAGGCCCCTTAATGCATTATGCCATAAGGAATCCCTAACAGCGTTTACCGAAATCTGTAGAAACATTTGAAATCATTGAATTAAATGTATTGTAAATGTTGATTTTAAACCGAAAATAAAATAAGAATCAGAAAGACAAATTGCAAAAAAAAAACAAATATTAACATAAAATTAAATACCAAAACATTGTGAAGATTACACGAACACTCTAACGAAATGAAATGAAACATGGAAAGCTATGATAACAATGACAGAAACAAAAAATACAAATGATACTTTAAAAACCATTACAAAACGTTTTTTATTGATTATGTTGAAACGCATTCAATAAGAGAAGGCTATTGAGCCCCTCATGCATAATATTCCAAATAGCATACATATATACCCCCAAAACATTTCTTTTCGGTAGTTAGTAGTCGACTGTTATAGGCGGGTTTAGTGCGGTTTAGAATTTATCGGCATGGAGTAAAGCTTTATGCATAGAAGCGGGCACTACTTTGTGCACGTTTTACAGTTTAAAATAAACATTGTATTATACATTTTTATTTTATTCCGGTGCCTATAAATTTATCGCACTAAGCTTTCCTTTGCTATTAAATGTAATACTTGGGCCATGCACCATGCATTTTGGTAACAATTTCGTGCAAGCCTGGACCTTCATTATTATCGGCAATTTTCGCTGCTATCACATCATTGATTTAGATTTTCCAAATAAGAATATGTGCTTGTGGCAATACGCGAGATAAACTAATCTGCTGTGCCACGCTAACTTGAACGTATTGGTAGGATCATATTTGTACAGCATTGATAGCATCTCGAAAGTGGATGTACTCCTCGGATCGTAGGTATACTTGGTTCAACCTGATAACTGATCATTGTGATTATTGCCCTCTTTTTCGCGAGCCATGCATCGACATGTTTAAGTACTTGGAAAATCATTGAACTAAAGTTCTTAATCGTTTCATGGCCTGTAAATGAATGTTTGTGCAATAAACATGAACTAATCCTGTTAAAATAACGTATACTTTCCTGTAAATGAATTTATTATCCTTATCGCAATATTATAAACATCTCCACCTCGCCAAAAAAACGATGTTTCGGGTACACGCTGCAGATGATCATTCTGACGATGCGGATTGATATCACGTGGGTCTAAGTTTTCACCAATGACAGTAACATCAATTGTTTGCGTTTTGAAACGTTCTCTTATAGGCTCTACTAGCAATTTTATAATGTCCAGTGTTGTGGAAAAAAGTTCGCACAATCGTCTTCGCACTTGTGTGCATAACGCTGGTCCACCTCTTGTGGTGAAAGTCTATATAGTTCAATCCACAATTATAGTTTTCCTGAAGAAATGAGCACAGTCGAGGGATATACATTGATAATTTTGCCACCTTCTACACAAGATCAGCTCGAGACTGAGAACCCTCAGCTTGGTGCAGGTACCATTAATGTCTAATTAAATAAGATACATAATTCAAATATTTCTTCTACATAGGTCTCCCTACTTTTTCCCATATGATATACATATATGTATTATAATACAAATTTATTTGAAACTTGAAACTTACATTGTTATTATCAATACCGTTTACCAATAACCAAAGCCATGAATTATTCGGAGACTTCTTTATTTTATTTTTGATTCTTTTGAGAATTGTCGAGCAACTGCCATGTTTTTTGATAGTTTTACAAGTTCGAGTTATTTCAGATTACGAGGCTTATTCAAATGAAGCCGAAGAAGAAAAAATAAAAAGCCAATTTTAGTGGTGTGGTCATGATATCCAAACAAAACTCTGTCTTCTCCGACCCCAAGCAAATCTTAAGCCATTTCGTACCTTGGCAAGTCAATCGGTCATCGGCAGTTGTTTGATCAACTCTCTCGGCACGAACATCAAGTTCGTCACAATTGAGCCATCGATCGATCGTTCGGTACCCAACAAACGATAGCGGGTGAGTGCTCAGGGAGAGTTACTTGCACATATTAGCATGAAACCCATGGGCCAAACATATCAGTGCGGCGCCAACAGGCATGCGAATCGGTTCAAAATCGGACGCACCAAAAAGTGAAATAATGCTTTTAACGCTTGAAAATTACAAGGCGTGCCAAATAAAAGCCTGAAGAGCCATTACCTTGAAAAAGAATATAGCTCCAATCATCTAATGGATTCAAATTACAATTGAGAGAGCAAAAAATAATGACAATAGTGCAATTTATGAACACGACAAAGCTTTTAAAACCAACCATCAGGGCAGTCAAAGGTTTCCACGCGTAAAAAGTGAAATAAATAAATAAAGTGTAAACAAAAAGCAGTCGACGTGATAATCAGAATCGCCACAAATGTGCATTTATTTTATTGGCGTCAAGGCCCGTAGTTAGAACGGAAAATGAAAATGGAAAAGTTGAAAAAGCGCGCGTCAAATGTAAAGCGCGGGCTCATCCAGATCTGCCTTTGTCTTTGCAACCTGCCCATGCTCAGCCACGCCCACTACATACAAATCGATCACGAGGAGTTTCGCGCCAGCGGCTTTCCCCATCCACACTTGCCACCCCCTCCACCGCACCTCGAGCACTTGCCCCAAGCAGCGGCCACCAAGGAGCTAACTCCCGCCGAAATAATGGTCGATCTAACAAACGATCTGACATATCGCATCCAACACTACCACTCCATACTCAACCGCAACAACTTTGCCTTCTCGCCCACCGCACTGGTCAGTGTCCTGGTGGCGCTCTACGAGGGCTCGGCGGGCCACAGTGCCAACGAGCTGCGGAATGTGCTCCAGCTTCCCAACAATCGTGACATCATACGCATCGGCTACCGCGACATACATCGACGACTGCGGGTAAGGTGGTCTGCGGGTGATCCCAGCCCATGTAGGGCCGCAGCTTAGCCCCAATTTGGTTTTATGCCCTTCTGTGCTCATTTGTTTGTGTTTATGGTGAACTTAACCTACAGCCATTAAGTAGAAGCCCGCAGCTACATAAATAAATAGCCAAAGCACATTTACATGCATCGTTAACCACATTCATTGTTTTAAGCCCTGACCGGTGTACCGCTTGCGTCCGAATTACACTTCATTGATACTTGAAGCAAATATTCTACCTGTATCGGCATGTTGATGCAGAAAGCACGCCTCGGGCCTTATCGCGTTCTCTTGGCCCGGGGCAGTTCTTGCCAACCCATTCGGTCTACGTACTCGGACATGGCTATATAGTTCAATAGGTTGTTGACCCCTTTGGCTATGTATGAACCAAACACTCGATGGGCGAAAAAAAACAATTTGAATTGAATTTTTAATTGTCGCTCTGTCCACACAATTGGACAATTTTCAATCTGCTGATATGGGAGTTTATTTTCGAAATGATATTTAATGATTTTATTAATATCCTGTACCCCAAGCATGGAAGGCATCTCGAAAAAGTTAACTCCCGCTCCAAAAAGTTAACTTTTCTGAGCGTATGAATTTACAAACTTTCATGAGTGTTTTTTCCCCGCTTTGCACTGTTGATTGTTGTTAACCATTTTTATTTCTCCATTTTGTTTAATAAAGTAAAAAAGGAAATTATAGTATATACCTCACTTGTATATTCATAATGTTTTTAAGAGATTTGAATAAATTGAAACTGAATTTTCAAACCAAACGTTTTTCCGATCTCTAAAGTGAATATCGAACTAAATTGTTATGCAACATTGTCGCACAAGAAAACGTTTGAATTGGAAATATTTTCAAGGCACACAAGGCAATAAGACTAAAAAATGCGATAATGATCAATACGGTAGTGAAGATGGCATTCCGTTGTATGAGTTGATTAATTCAAAATGTTTTTACGACGTTACCGTTCGAGAGGTTCAACTGTTGATGTCTACGACCGGTGGTAATGCTAACATCAGCTTTGATTACACCTAGCCCTCGCTTAACGCTAACTCTTTTAAAGATAACTCGGTCTAACGCGATTGCAAAATTGCTACCATTTCTCTTTGAACGCGGTGAAATACCTCGTTCTAACGCGATGGACAAAATCGATTTTTTTATTTTCTCGATTATTGCATGAGTATCTTTGGGTATAGTATGTATCACCACACATGAGATGTGTGTAGGAAAAGGGAAGTCCCACTTTCTACATACACCATCAGAGTAAGATTGAGTGCATACTCGTATGTCCATACATAAATAGTTGCTAAGGTGAGCAAAACTTTATTTCTTCAGACGCGCACATAGTAAGATTAAAATTCTTGTGATAAGTGAAATGGTTTAACCGTTGAATGAAATAAAATGGTATAAAGTAAATTATACAAATTGCTAAATAAAATAAACCATATAAGAAGAGCTGCTAAGGAGCTTTAAGAGCCACTAAACAGTCGAAAATTACAGATTTTGTTGCCACACAAGGGGAGCCACCATATAAAAAATGTTAATTACTAAAGCTACTATAAATGCCAAAATAAAACTCAAGCTGAAATTGTGTCTATTCCATGAGGATTAAGGACATAATTTATATATATCCTTAATCAGTGAGTCAGGGCGAATATTTTGAATTAATTAATTTTTAATTTTTTATTTTTGATCAAAAAAATAAAACTCAAAGAATAATCATTATTTTATAAGTTTTATTTTTTTGCTCATCAATAATGATTATTGGTTAAGTTTTAAAGTAAAACTCAAAATTAATCATTACATTGTGAGCGAATGAATAAAAATTAAAATTTATAAATCATAGTGAAAATGCATAGATAATCCTTAAAAAAGGATATCTGTGAATTCCTCACTTTCTCAAAGTTACTATAAGTGAATGATTTTTTCGTTTAAAAAAACAAAATAATCATTATTTGCGGTCCCTGCTTTTTATGTTTTTGAAACTAATAAATTTAAACACTAAAAAATTGTTGTATGCATTTTTCGAAGTCTAGGAACGTAACCCCTCATTTTGTATGGAAATATATGGCTCGTTTAACGCGATTTCGCTTAACACGACGCTTTCAAGGATCGTAACGCCCGCGTTAAGCGAGGGCTAGGTGTATATGGAAAATTGGTATAGGGACCAAATTACGGATGATAATTTTGATTTCAAAGTGTCCTATGATAACGACGGGTGACTCAAGCGAGATATTCCACAACCACATTCCAAAGGTGTGCTTCCAGATAGCAATTGAAAGCATCAGAAGCTTGATAAAGTGGTTTGAAAACAGTAACGATGCAAATGAAATGATTATCAAGGCTATGTTTACTATTGAATATTTTTTCAAAGAGGTTTAAAGAAAGATTTAATTACCTTTGGGACATTTCGGTTAACGTTTTCGAGATTTTACTGTACCTATTTGAAATATATATACCATATTATTTAAGATTCCGCTCTCCATATGAATATCACGTATTTAAAAATTATTATCAATCAAGGATACAATATTTATAAATACAGATATTATGTAGCGCTTATGCTTTAAACACGTATTTTAACGATTATTTTATTTTAATATTATTCTTAATAAAGCGAAAAAATTTTTCACTTATAGCAGCTTTTAGAGAACGAGGATTATAGCAATATCCTTCCTATTTTTAGGGGTATTTTCTAACCCAAAACTGTACTATTGCCGCACGTCTCAAATTTTTATTTATTCCCTATGTAAAAATCAGGAACAATCACAACGTAAGTTTTATATTTGATCAAAAATATAAAATTAATTACTATCTGAGCTTCTTTTTTTGCTCAAAAATAATTATTTTTGGTTGAGTTGTAAAGTATAACTCAAAATAAATCAATAATAATCATTATTTTGTAATTTTTATAATAATACCAATAATGATTGCAGTCCCTGATTTTAACCAATCATTCCCATACCGAGTGTCTCATATAGCCCACTGGCAAATTAATTTAGTTGTATAATGCAGTTGGTTGTGGCTGTTCAAGTAACAAAAGTTTACTAACATTAATTTAAAAATATGGCCAAGTAATTACATGTAAAAAAATTATAATGTTAGTAAATAATATTTTTAACTACTACAAACAATAATTGTTGCAAAAAAGTGGTACATTTTTACTCTAAAAACATTTAATTGTCTACAAACACATCATTTCTTCTGCTTAAGCTATTGTCTACAAAAAATTGTAAATCCAATTGAAAGTCCACAAAAGCTTTTTTGTTGGGTGTTTATTATTATTTATTTATTATTAATAACACGGAGAGAATAATTTGTGCAATTTATAATATTTATAAGGTGAATAAGGTTCTATTTTCAATTTAAACAGATCGATTGGCAGCCATGACTTTAATTAAATAATTAATTTTGTTTTATGTTAAGTTTATTTATTCATAATTTATTTATTCAAATTGTAATCTTTGATTACCGCCCTGATCGATCATATTACAGGAATCTAAAATGATTTTTATACCTATTTTCGCTCAAATTTATTTTCTTCAAATCCCTATTTGTTGCAGACCTATTTTTTTGGCTCAGACAATCCTCTGAAGGGCCTTAGTCTGAACAGAAACAATGTGACAGTGCTAAAGGATTTCGAGACTGTTCTAATGTTCTACGGCTACGACTTGAGCGTCGATATGGTCTCAGCGACAGCACCAACAAATGCCACGACTGAGCTGACGAACACAACCATGGCCAGTAACACCACGTCCGAAGATATGCAGACAGAAACCACAACGCTCAAAGATTCGGAAACAACAACGACCGAGCCATCCACAACTACAACAGAAGAGACAACGGAGGCTGCCACAACAACAACTACGGTGGAGACTACCACAGTAGAGGCTGAGACAGAAGCCACCGAAGCCACCGAGGCGCCAGCAGCAGCATCTGACGAGGATGCAGCCGAGGCAGCAGGAGAGGGCGAAGACGAGGCTGCCGAACTGGTCTCCGCTTTTGTGGCAGAAGAGGATGCCGAACCATTCTTGCGCATACAAAAAGCGCGCGTTTCCCGACTACCAACCAGCAAACTTCAGGCACCACTCAAGCATTCTCTTCCCATTACACCAAAGCCCAACTATTTGCCCAGTGCGGTCCACAGCATCCAGATACCTATGGCTGCGCGTCAAATTTCTGCGCCTACGAACAGTATGCGACAAGCTTCGTTGACGACAAAGGCACCGAAGCTGCGACAAACTAGCAGCAGCACACCATCTCCGCCCCTACGTTCTCCAGCCCCGACAACAAGTCGAAAGGCAAAATCGGCCCGCCTGAAGCGCCACGTCCTTGGCTACAAGGATTTGGATGCCAATCTCTTTCTAACGCTCTTTAGCCCACACGCTCCTCATCACCATCGCAACTTGCTGCCCTTAACACCCACGCACCACGCCCCTGTGTCTGCCTTTACGCATATTTCCAATGAGTTCTCATTGGATGTGGAGCCGCACTTTATCAATGACGCCGCAGAGACGAAACAAAACTACAATACGGATGTCATTAGCCATGTCTTCTATTTGGGCAGCCAGCAAATCGTTCACACCACCTTCAAGGTGTACAACGCTGTGCTGTACTTCAAGTATTTTGAGCATCTGAAGATCAGCGCCCTCGAACTAGAGCTGGACACGCCCGAGTACAACCTGATGATTCTTCTTCCGGACTATCACATGGACATCGTTGCCGCCGCCGCCTCCCTCAAGCTGGGACCCACCCTTCGGCTAATGCGCAAGCAGCTCAAGCCACGCTGGGTACAAGCCATCATACCCGACTTTAAGCTGCACGGGACAATGTTTCTCACCAACGATCTTCAAAATGTAAGCGAAATGAGATGAAATTTGACCAAGCTGATAATTTGGTTTGTCATAAGTTAAATCTTGGGTCTGATCATCGTGGATTCCTGAGATCCACGGTCATAGGGTGAACTGGAGGTCATTCGGCTTACACAGATCACAAATATAGATCATAAGTCAAACACGGTTAGGTTTTAACCTAACCATCTAACATTGGCTTCTATCACCAAACAAAAGAAAATAAAAATTTCTACTAATTTAAACCAGTCGGGTATAGGTGACTGGAAAAAAAGCCATAAGGAGAACATTTACAATTGATGAAAGCACTGTTTTGCTTAAAGATTGGCTGCGGTTTTACTTTCATTATTCTTCTATTACCTTGCAGATGGGAATTTGCGATATTTTTGAGCCAAGTCGCGCAGATTTCCGTCCCATGACCGGGGAACGGGAGCAGATCTATGTGCGTCATATTGAGCAAGCCATAAACGTTTCCATTCGTACGCGGCCCATCAATCAGCTCAAACGTAAGTGGCAAACATTGCAGCACACCTGAACAAACGCATTGAGGCGCAACCGAGATGGCGGACGGCCCCACCTGCAGTGGCATCTGTGATTGCGCCAGCACTTGCTATGGCAAGCAGCAGCAGCAAAATCAACAGTCAAGATACAAACAACTAATAACCATTTCCTTTCTTTGGCCAGGCAACTATGGCGCCCAAACAAAGCCCATACAGATCTCTGTTAACCATCCGTTTCTGTTTTTCATCGTCGATCGCGACTTGGATGTGGCGGTGATGGCGGGGCGCATACTCAATCCACTGAACGTGCGAATACAGTAACCAACTCAATCGTAGAAGGTCGAAGAAATGGAAAGTGCTTGAGGGACAATGCCCTTCTTTTTGGACGATGCCAACGTGTAACGTTTTGTAATTTACCTGATAACTTGTTAAGCTATTTAAATGAAACATAAGTTTTCTACAAGGCTTCTTTAATTTGTAATGGAACTCACGACTAGAATTGGATCAGTTTTATTCTTACATTGACTTTATAAAAGAAAAATGAAACGCACATGCATACCTACATAGTACATATGAATATAAAACCATTGTATTGACAAATCATCATACACAAAATGTTGATCCTTCAACGGACATTTTAAGAAGTTTCCCAAAAACTTAACTTCACCACAGAATGGCAGAGCATGAATAAATACCCATTATAAGACTTAGCCTAGCTCATGGTAGTCTAGTTGCCTAACAGCTATTTGGTGTGCAGCCCCGTCTCTTTAATAACATCAATGCTCTTGCAATATTCAGTATTGATAGGTTCCAAACACGGTGCACACGCAGAAAAGACTCGTATTGCTAAAGACCTCAGAAACAGAAGTATCACAGTCACAATCCCAGCAGCAACGCGACGTGTAGAAAGTTCCAGCACCCAGCTCCTGGCCCAACATCACCTGCACGACATGCTTGTAGCGTTTCACTTTGGAGCTGGCTGCAATCTGCAAGTTCACCTCGTCCGCTATTTCCCGCGTCCATGTTGCGGCTGTGTCCTTATCATATGTTTTGTCTAGAAAGTGGAAAAAGGAGCGTTGTCTAGGCGACCAGAAAATGAATTGTTGAATTTTGTCCACCTTTGAGTTTCTCGGCCATAACCGTGTTGATGATGCTCTTCACAATCGGCAAAGGAAACATTTCACCGAAAGCCGGGCGCATGCTGTACGCTTGCGTCGCCTTAGCTGGCGTGTCCTGTTCAAGCTCATCCTTTTCTTGATCATCTTTTGGCGCGGATGCAACCGATGACTGTTGTTTGTTCTGCAGCTCCCCGCCGGCTGAAGGCCTCTCACCAGCGTCAACAGGCTCTTTGGTTGATTTTTCATCAGTCATTTTCTTCACTGTGATTACTTCAGTTGCTTTATTAAAATTGGTACCAAACAATTTATGCGCGCAGCCATAGACGGTAGCAACTCAAACAAAGTCTGGCAAGGCTACGCCAGTGTTGATTAACTCAGAATGTCATGCAAATTCGTATTTGCGCGCGCAGTGTAGGAAATTAATTAAATTTTAGTTTTAATTAATACGATAACAAATTAAGTGCTTGAAAATATCCCTCTGTTTCGATTCATTACATACTCCTAATAAGACTCGACGGTATTTCAAAACGGAAATTTCGCTTTCCCAACTGATTTTATTTTACAAGTAATTGCTTCGTATTGCTTTGTATAGTGCTGCATAAGCTGCACATCCAACATCAATATTGACACTGTTAATTCACTCTTTTATGCCTGCCCTACGAATACTTAGTGACATATCCAGTGCTTCATCTAAGGCTTATGGGCTTTCACATAGACTTAAACCAGAATGAATCTAGATCTACGTCCGCCTGCCTGTGTGTACGTATGAACACCTGGATCTCAGAGACTATAAGAGATAGAGTCACTTCTATGTGTGCTCGCAGTACGAGTTTGTTTTATTATTTTTTAATACAGCGATGCTTTTGCGCATTTTTGACTCTAATATAGAAATACATCCAGTTATTGATTATGTGCCAAGTGTCATCTTGAAACGTTAATTTGAAAGAAAGTTATAGTTTTGTGGTTGTTGCTGCTTTGGGTCAACTCTGTACTGCACACATATTTACACACAGTCACGAATAGGCTCACATAGACACAATTTTCTTTACGTAAGTTCGAATACCAAAGGAGATATAACCGATCAAAAATACATACATTCACCTAGATATGTACAGAGTATTTCAGAGACTTTAGTTTCTCCACTTGCTTTTTGTCAGCACTTTCGCAATGTTCCAAATCAAGATCTGTTATGGTGCTTTTATGTTCTGCAGACTGCATTAGGTCCAAACCGTAGGAAGATGCAATTCTACAGGATACTAAGCAGTTTTATAATTTCGTTAGCTCCAAAAGCATCACATCTTCCTTCATAATGTTAAAGCTAGCAACTAGCTTATTCTTGTACTATTTCGGTAAAGCCAATAAAAAGTTAATATTTTCTCAGTAACCGTTCTCTAATCTGCGGTGTTGAATTTAATGGACTTCTAAAAAAAACTCGCACCCATTAAATTTCATAAAATCTTTATTCACTTTTAAATAAATCAGAAAAGTACATAATAAATTCGATAAATATTTTTATATATGCAATAGATTTGGTTCGGTCTAGTCCTTATAACGGTATAAAATAATAATTGGTCTCATATTGAATGAATCCTTAAGACTGCATTTATTTTTTTGTCTGGCTGTTGCATCCCCAGCTACTTTGCCTTCGCCTATGGGCAAAAAATAATCACACTGCAATACTTATTGAATATGTCACCGATATGAGGAGTTGACCGACCCGTTTAGCATGTTATCAATAACTTATAAAATAGTTTAAATCATGCCTATACAATAAGTGTAGCGTATTGTTTGCTTTAATTTATATAAAGAATTACATATATGTTCGCAAGTACATATAAAATATTTTGTGTGTATATCTTTGTGTTCATTTTCGTATTAGTCGGGTGAATAAGTATGCTAATGAATGATAAATAGAAATAAATAAAAATAATGAAATACAACATACAAAGAGCTCTCACTTAAAGCCCTGAAACGCAACACACAACGTAGCAATATAAACCTCATATTGAAAGCATCTAAACAAAACAAAACAAAACACAAATATACACGCACAATTTAAAAAAATTCTTGTATACCAATTAAAATAGCTCAGAAAGAAAAATACTTCACACATACAAATACACCGTACATTAATTACATAACAAAATTCAACATAAAAAGATCAGATAGTTCATTGCATTGTATAAACATAATCATAGTAGTATACTTTTCGAAAAAGATTACAAATTGCAATTTCCTTTTTTGATTCTTACTGCGGGCAACACACCATTTTGTGCTATCCAAAATATTTGTTTTGGATACTTAGAATTTTAAAAATCTCGTTAACTTTCCCCGCACTGAATAGTGTTTACTTTATGCTCGTTTTTCTTGTAGCTCATGCACTATAAATAGTTTAATTATTGTTTCCGTTCAGCCACTGCTAGTTTTATATTTGGTACGTTTTCTTAAGTATTTAGGCTTAAAACTCCTTGAAAAATTTCGTGGGCAAGTACTCTCCAAGGAAATGTAGGTATTCAAATCTGAAAGAGAAAACAATTAATTAACTCCGCACGATAAGTCTTATTCAGATTTTGAACTTACATTCGATTCTTCACGCCCGTGCGGTTGATCACGTGTCGTTAGAGTGATGCCCGCTTCGGTTGAGGTAGAGGCTCCACCCGCAACTCCCGCAGTTGTTAAATCCAATTGTGAAGCCGTTGGACGCAGTGCAGCACGCTTGGCCACAATTTCCAACATCTCGTTGAGTATTGCACCTTCGGCAGCCACATCCGCAGAACTTTTGTCCAGTTCTGCTCAAAATGGGAATGACTTGCTTAGTGGTTTGTCAATTGATAAACGAGCAGTGCTACTTACTGTTGGAGGACAAGCGAAGGTTGAGTTCCTCCTTAAGCTGTGCATGCCGATATTCCAATTGCAGTTCCTGCTGTCTTATTCCTAGTTCCTCATCGCGTTTTCTGCGCAATAAAGTTACCTAATTAACACTTTCTAATTGGTGTAACCTTAAAAAAACTCACTTAAGTGCTGTGATGTTACGCCATATCTCCAGTAATTCCTTTAGAAGCTTTTCATCATTGTCCTTCGACATGTCCAGGCTGCAAGGCACAATAGTGGTTTTAAAAATCGCTTTGTTATCGCTTTAAATACCATTTAAATATTTCAAAAAGAAAGACGCTATATTTCAGTATTTCCGGTTTCCGGCTATTATAAAATAGTATGAGAAGCATTGCAGCTATTGGTTATATTTGGAATAGAAACCCACCCACTTCTTATGCATTCTGGTTATACATAATTTTTCATTCCTTCATAAGTACCTATAGAATACACAAGTATCTATTTTAGACGTTATGTTGAAACCATTCTAAATAGACAAGTTACACTGATTGAAATGATTGGAGCGATATGATTCAAAATATGCCAAGAGCTGTTATTCGTAATTCCCTTTCGAGTTGGAATCTGTTCTGCAATTTTACGAAATTCATTTATGCATCTGATTACTGTACAAGTATTTAATTGCTTGTTTTTAACTGGGCTCCGAACTTTAAGGACAATTGTAATTAACGAGTTTTCTTGGGACTCCAAAATGAAGGCAGATTTCGATGATACTCGTATGTGTCGATGTCATTTTTTACGATCACTACATACCTTTCAAAGTTCTGCGCCTCACCCCGTAGGGCCTTCTCAATAAGCACTCCGCGTGCCTCTAGTTCTTTTAGCTGGACTTCAATCTCCTCCTGTTCGCGCTGTATTTCTTGAGCGATTCGCAATCGCTTGAGCTCAGCTTGTCGTGAAGCTTTCGATATGGCACGTTGCTTCTTATGCTCTCGTGTCTCGGTAGCGTAGCTCTCATCTGCATAAATATTAAAGCGATTAGAGGAACTGAAGACTAGCAGAGGCACAATGAAAAACAAAGGAGCACAATAAACATAATAATGCATAGTGAAACAGATTAACAAACCATCGGATCTTTGATAATTCAGAGGCAAGGGCGGTATGGGTGGAGGTGTTTGGTCGTCCAAGGCGTTCGCAGTGGCCAGATAGTGGGGCTTGTGTATGTAGAGCTGCGGGGTGGATGATGAGAACGCTTGAGCGTTGGCGGCAGCTACGGCGCGCCCGTTATTCGTTTGCTTTTGGCAGCTACTGTTGTTCGTATTGTTTAAATAATCTTGCGAGTGTTTTGTTTGTGATGTTTTTGCTGCTGTAGTTGGCATTGGTGTATTGTTTGTGAGCGTATGAGACGGCAGGCATTCCTTTTCCTGATAATATTGTTGTGATTACATTTGAATTCATGAAAATATTTTTAGTTAGGAGTAAAAGTAGTTGTAGCTAAATTAAAAAAAAAAAACTAGAAACCGTCTATACTAAAATGAATTCGAAAAGGTGGTTCAAAAGAAAGGCATGTTTATTTGGCGTGCAAAAGAACCACCAAAACCATGGAAGCCAAGACCACAAACAGCCAAATCATGCAAAATGACTGCCATTTTGAAGATACCTCAAGAAAACAAAAGTGCATAAAATTAAAAATAAAAGATCAAAAATCCCATCAATTTGTCATTACTGATTATTTATCATGTTGTCTCTGAATAAGAATTCAAATCTATGAATATAGTACAACGCCTATTCATAAAATATTACAAACTTCCACACCTCGAAACCTTGAAAGACTGTAATATTAATTCTTAATAATCTGAAGACACTCTCTTCTTATTTTATTAAAACACATGTAATACTAAGGCATACAAAAATAAAAATAAAATTCACAACGTGCATGAAAAAAATGTTTGTTAGAAATTCTTAAATTACATCTTAAATAGTTTTAGCTGCAATTGTGAAAAGGAAAAGAAAAAGTAGAGTATATGAAAAAATATAAATTAAACATGAACTAAATTAAAAGAAATTGTTTAGCTTAGCATAGAAACAAGACAGTTTGATGCATTCTGGTTATCAGATAAATTAAATGAAAAAACTAATAACGAAGGAACAGAGTTCAAGTATAGTTTCCTGCGTTCATAGTCATCTCTTACTTTGAATAACAAACATAAAAAGAAGCAATAAGCGAGTGTTGATGAATGATATGAAATAATATTTAAAGCACAAACGATTAAAGGAAACGATTAAAGGAAAACGAGAGAATAAAATAGCGTAGGAAAAGGTAGAGTAGATTTAAAAAGTTCTTACACCGAACCCGAAACTCCTCAGATCAAAGCAGGACTGCAAAATGTTTAAAAAAAATGTTGATGATTAAAAACAAAGCACACCAAAAACGTAGACATTGACTGTATCTCAAACATATGAAACCCATTCTTACTTAAAGGTACAATACATCTGTTTATATGTATCTTAATGGTTTCCAGATGGTTGAGTTTTCATGCATTTGCCCAACTCGGGCAGACCACACTGATACACGCACTTAGGTACAGATCCATCACCAATTACTTATCGAAACTAATACATATAACCATATACCGATCACTCACCTTTGACTTCTCTTTCGACTTTGGGGATATGCGGAAGCGGCTAAAGACGCCTCCGCCACCGCCACTATCGCTGTTAAGAGAGACCGTGGGCGTGCCGCTGCTGCTTGTGCCCGGACGCTCTGCTGCCTCAGAGTGGCTGGAAGCGGCAACGTTGCTCTGTTCCTTGTTGTTAGTATGACTTGGCGTCGCGGTTGCCGAATTGCCTTTGTGGAAAAAGCTGGACAATGATTGTATGAGACTCTTGCGTCGTTCTGGATCCTTTTGCCGCCGACCAGACTTTGCCTTAGCTGCCTTTCCTTCAGAGCTGGCTACCAGATTGGGATCTGATATGAAATCAGCTGCTTTAGCCTTGAGTACCGCATCGTTTTCCTGCTGCTGTAAATGCTGCTGGTTGGCCATGTACGCCAGATCGTTGACACTTTTCGAAGCACTCATTTTCCGGACACGCACTACCAAGTCATTGGGTTCTACTTCGACTTCTGCAGGCAGCACCTGTTGCTTGGCATTGATGATATTGGATGTGGGGTCGTACTGTAGTCGCTTGCGGAGAAGTTGCATTTTCTCTTCGGGACTTAGGCCCAGTTCGGAATTTGATTTTAGGCGGGCTCGTGCACGTGCCTCAGAGCGAAGATTCTCCGTTGACGCAGAAATAGTCGTCTGGACTTGGAATTTTTCATTGCCTGCCCGTTGAAGACGCACGGGAGCTACGGGAGTGGCAAATTCGCTAGCTTTGCTAACAGAAGCGTGACTGAAGGATGGCGTTTTATTTAGTTTGTAGCGCTCAAGTCCGCATATTTGTTCAACGTCCATATGTTCACTGAAGGGTCGCGGTTTGTAAAGGTCAGCTGAACGCGTAGGTCCACGTACAGTACGGTAGGGCGATACGTACGTGGCCGATTTCTGCACTGAATTTGGTTCCTTAAAATTGTCTGGAGATGCAGTTCTCACAACACTGTGAACATTGGTTGGATGCACCTCAGCCGTGGACTCATGATAATGCGCCTGACTTGTGCAGTTGGCATCGTGCGTTGTCGTTGCTGCTGCCAACTTGGGTGTGGGACTCAGGCTGGAGCCGCTGGCATAACCGCTAGTTAGCAGACTACGCTGGCGACTGCGGTGTAAACGCTTCTCGGCGTTCAGCTGTTTTTTTGACTGCAACTTGTCCATGACCAGATCGTGTATTAGATCTTTCTGTTTGGTACGCTCTTTAGTGATCTCCTCCAGCTTGCTAGTGAGCGTGGGTATTTCAGGTACTTTGTTCGATGTGCTGCTGCTCCTCGACCGAGTGATAGCTGTTGTTGTGTTATCAATTTGTGCATCCGACTGGGTGCTTTCTATCACAGTTTTTTGTTGTTGCAGATTGGGTGGCTCACCCTTGGAGCTTTTCCGACGCTGCTTACGCGAGTCCAAAGAGTCCCGCGCGGTGCTTATTTGTGAGATCCGCTGCTGCAACGCTCGCACATACTCAAATTGGAATTGCAGATCTTCGCCTTGTACGTTTTGTACGGGTACATCTTTTAAGCCTTGAACGGAACTGGTGGTATTGGACCCGCTGCTGGTGGTGGCTGTTGACTGCGTAGTCTTCGGCTGCTTTTCGGAACTACTCGGCGTGGAGCATCCTGCTGTTTCCGAACCTTTTCCTGCGGAAATTAGTGAGGCAAATTGATCCAAAACTCGTGGCGACGAGGTGTCCAGTGGACTGGTCACGACAGTGAGTGCCTCGCTCTCCTCTGTAGTCGTGGGCTGAGTTTTAGTAATTGTTTGCGAATGCGACGTGCCTACGCCCAAGCTGTCTTCATCCAAATCATTCAGAGTGCTTGAGTCAGTTAGGGATTGTGTCATCACCGAGGCAGTGAGTGGGTGCAGGTGGGGAGTCTCGTTAACAGGCGTCTTGGCATCGTCATGCATAATATAAGCACCCTGTTCAATGTAGTCTATTCCCAACTTTTCATCGCGCTTCGTGAGCATCGGCTTGCACTTGTCAGACACCACACCCGTTGTTTCAATGCCACTATTGTGACCTCCTGAAGTTTGGCCTAGTTTTGGTGGTGCCTCAATGTACTCCATATATCCGCGATTGTGCAGTAACGCAGTGTTCGTAGCCGAATAAGCTTCAGCGCAAGATCCCTCGGAGCCCGTGTCCATAAACTCAATGTCATCAATGTCTATTGACTTTAGTATGCCATCCATTTTAACCACGGGTGCTTGGCGAACCATCTTGTTTATAACCTCGCTACTACTAGGCATTTTTGGGGTGCCTAGTCGCTTCCGCTCCTTTCTGCGCTTTATAGTACCCTTGTTCGAGTTCAACACGAATTCCATATCAACAAAATTCTCTGAGATACAGTCGTCGGCCGTCCAATCCGACAATTCTGTTTCCGTTAGTACCTGTCCAGTTCCAGTTCGCTCTGTCTCAGAGTCGGAGCCGCGAGACTGCAATTCAGCGGTTGGTGTCTTATCACTGTCGTGTTGCTGGATTGCCACAGGCGTAGTTGGCGTATCTGGAGTACGGGGAACCCCACTCAAATTTAACGTTATGGGCTTCACAGCTTTGGTGTGCTCCACATTGTGGCTATCCACTATCAAGGGCAGGTTCTTAAGGCTTTCAATTTTATTCTCGTTTTTAGTATCAAACTTCAGATTTGACGGTTTTATTTTGGCTGGTCCCATATCGGCCAGTGGAGGAAGTCTATCCGCTTCTATTACAGTTCGTTCGGCTGGTTCCGGTGTGGCAGTAATTGGCTCCACATCTGCATCGTGATCCTCTACCTCCTCTACTTCAGTGCTCTTCAACAAGGACATTTGTGGTACAACTACGCCCAACGGCATGTCCAGATACTTAACATCTTCTGGATCACCAATGTACTTCCCATCTACAATCATAAGGCTGTCCACCTGCATGAGAGCGCCGCTGCTATCGGTCACTTCAAGCCGTGGTACAGTGTGCTTGCCACCTGTGGCGGTGCCAGTGGTATGTGTGTCAGGGCTCGTAGTTGAATCCAATATGTAATGCTGAATGTCCTCTATGCTTGAACTGCCCGAGCTTGAACTGGAACCGCTGGTGGTGGTAGAGATGACCTGTGATTTTGACTTACTCCAGGGGATGTTAGGCACTTCGATCTGAACTGTGTCATGCTCATACTGTTCGGCCGCTTTTTCTGGAGAGTCACGTTTCTCTTCGTCCGAATTACACAGTAGACCCTCCTGCTCCTCTTCGTTACCGTCGGCCTGTTTGTCTGCCTTGATATGCCCCAATATATCGGGTATGCATTCTTTCACATCTTTTGAGACATCCGGCTTGGTAGCCGTATCTGGATTGGTAACTGTATTGCCTGTAAGATCAATAATCTTATTACTATCAGCAGCTGGGTCGCCTTCTTGAGACAATATTTTTATGCTATTGATAAACTCCACGTTGGACTCTACCATTTTCGTTGGTATCTCAACCTTCGTCAAATCAATAATTGGAACGGGCTTATCCGGGGTCACAAGATCGATTACTTCAATATGAGTTTTATTATTGGTTGGAGTATTGGGTAAGGACTTCTTGCCCAACTGCTCTAGCAATGTGGCGTTGACTGCATCGGAGTACTCCATGCCCTTGTTTAGCTCGTTCTTACTATTGACAAACACATTCTCTTTTTCATTGTCCGTAGAGGTGCTAGAAGGGGCCTTCTGTATTTTGAGTTCAACGCGCAAATCGTTTATCACGTTGCTGGTAGCAGACCGCATTAACTCGTCCCTTGCACTTTCGCCTAGTTTAGTGCGGTCCAGGAAACTCTTCATACCCGCGCTGATGTCGCTGCTAGGATTAAGTAGCTTCTGGCACTCTGAGATATTGGACTGGAAACTCCGTATGCGGGAATCTAGCACCGATGTGGAGCCAGACTTTTGTATTTTATTGCCGTTGGCAGATTCTCCTAATAAATAACGCTTCTTAAGCTCTAAGCTCTTTTTAGAGGCTATTCCCTCTGTGCTAGCAGTTTTGTTAAGCAAATAGTCTCCAGGTCGTGGATTCTGTAGCGGCACACGATTGCTGCTTATAAGAAGGGTGGGATCAACTTGCACTAAAGGTTTAAACTGCGGCAGTGCCGGCTGGGGCTGGTATTTTTGTAGATAGCTTCCGCCTTTCTCTCGTGTTGCTATTTGTTTTTGATGCGCAATCCCCGCTCCTTGTGCATTTGGTGTTATAATAGTGGACTTTATCTGTAGGATCAATGGGATGGCATAAGAAAATGTAAATTATAAATGAGATCTCCTGGTACTCACCTGTACTTTTGTGGGCTTTTTTAGATGCGTATCATCGATGAAAATTTTGGGCGCCTGCCGGATGATCTCATCGTTATCGAATTCTGAGTCGGTAGATATTTCAGTGGCAGAATTGAGTTCAACTTCATCTGGCGACGTGCTTTCGGATTCGGTTTGTACCTGTAAATGGAAAGGGGACGAACAGAGTTTAGTAACATGACGAGACTTTGCCAAAAAAAACGTGAAAATGTGTTAATTAACCATAGCGATAAACAAAGACAAACATAAATTGTATCAATGGCATTGAATAGTGTTATATATAAAGATAGCTTTATGGGCAACACGCTATGGCTAAAGTTGAAACATGCGACATTAGTCTGGATTAATCAGCGACGACAAAAGAGGCATAAATAACAACATGCCTTTAGGTACGATCCAAAAAGGTATACAACGAACGGCACGCAGGAAAGTTTAAGTTTGACTGTTGAATTGAATTATCAATTAATGTCAGCTGTCACTCTTTCTCTCTTTTATGGTAAGAACGCATCTACAGGCACATAACTGTAGACTAGGAGTATTGACGATGATTTTTATTAAGCAGTTGAGGGAAGCAGTTGGGGTGAGAATAGTTTTCTAATACTATTTCTTTATAAAACCAGAATAAAGCATTTATAACGCATACAAAGTGTAAGAAGCCAATTTTCTCGTCAAATATCCCTGATTTCTGCGCACACTCACCACTATTTTACAAGAGATTAAGAAATATATGAATTGTATACATCTTGTCGGGTTATTTAACGAATTAGACAAAGCTTACAACGGAACGGCACAACAATTTTTCAATGGATTTTAGAGATTACAAACTTGCAGCTTGGGCGGCTCGGGTGTTAGCGCAACATTTCGTTTACATTATTGCTTGAATTTACCTTTATAGATCGTACCCAGATGCTTTACATGTCTAACAAATCAGTTTATATCTTGCGCTTTTCATTTTTTTGCCACATTCACGGGCGGAGAATTTGGTGCAACACTAAGTCAAGGGCACGAGTGCTTTGGCCTGGCGTTGTCTATTGCATGGCTAATTTTTGAGACGTAGCACATCAAGAGCAGGCAGGCGGGCGGGCAGGCGGTTGGGCGGTTGTTCAGGCTAGCGGTGGTTGGTTGGGTTGGTTGAGGCTTTAGCTACAGATATCACAAGAAATCTATCTGTGTTTTCTGGTCGGGGTGTGGATGTATTGGTTTCAATTTTGGTTTAAGTGGTGATGTTGGCTTCAGTAGAGAAAGTAGTTGAGATGTCGTCTGCACGTGTTGACATTGGGAAAAAATTTGAAAAGAGAATTGTTTGTCAACGTTTAGGGATTTCATTCAACTAAGATATAACGCACGACTCTTTGGTGGATGGCAGACTGTAGTCCCTGCGATCATAGCTGGATATAGAGCTGGGACTACGGCGTTTGAATAGATCGCTGATATGTGAACGGCGGGTTGCTGTTACGCTCGGGTAGTAGTTGGACGTAGTTGTTGCCGACGTTGAGTAGGGTCTGCGACTGAGGTAATCACTATTTAAGGTACAATCGTAGTTACTGCTACGTCCTGAGCCACGTGAAGTAGGAAACCGCGAGATAGCTGCGCTGCTGAGGTTGCTTGCGTAATGTCTTGGTCGGTAACTAGTCAGATCGCTATCATCTTCTCTCTCATACTCATTGCGTTCCGACCGAATAACTTCACGCATGTAGGGATTTCGTTCTACGACACGTTCATTCACAAAATCGCGCTTTCGGTTGTGCAGTCGCTTTCCACGATCTAAAAGAGCACGGGTGCTGGCATCTACCGACTCTTCGTAATTAATGTAGCTACTTGGACGTGGAGGAACCATTGCAGTTGACTGCGGATCTGTGTCTAGACTAGAGTGTGCCGAGTGCAGCGAATGTAACGATAAGCCTTTTTTGAGATCGCTGTAAGATTTTGACGTTTGGCGACTGCTAAACTTAAGCGGATCAAGAGTTTGCGCCGTCTTTGGCGATTGCGAGCGGGGCTTACGTGCAACATCGCCTCTTTGATTTTGTACAATCAATGGACTCTTAAGATCATACGTGTCTTCGAACTCTGCACGCTGATCCTTCTCGAATTTGGTCTTACCATCGGGCCACTGTCTATTATTGAACACCGGCAAAGGTGGAGAATCGGACCGCGCATAATCTGGCAGTGCTGGCTGTAAGTGCGACTGTTCCTCATCTTCTAATCCGCTGTCAGCGCATATGCCATCAATTTGCGGTTTGGGCCAAGGACGATCCTTAAAAACAGCAGGTAGAGGCTTTTCGTTCGCCGTTGCCTCGGGCACGAATTTCGGTGGCTGAGCCTTTGGAACCTTTAGTTTTCTGGGCATAGGCACAATGACCGGTTTGTTGTCCTGTAACTCTATAAATGCAAACGAGCTGCGTCGTGTGGACGAGTCTGTCGTGTCTAGGGTCGAATTGGTTTCTGTCTGGGGAAGCTCCAATTTCTTAAACATAGGCGGTGTTCCTGTACGCTTCGGACCTTCTATGTCACTATTCCGCCTCGATTCCTGTTGCGTGACCTTTTGCGTTAAAGACTGTGGGGGCCTGCGTTTGGATTCTCCGCTAGAGTTGCTGCTGCTTTGGATAGAATCTCGTCTTCGCTGTTCGGTTGCCGTTATCTCATAGCTCTCGTCGCGTTTTACCAAAGCTTGACGGCGTTCATTTTCGAATTCAGCAATAAGACGACGTTGCGTAGCTTCGGCATCGTTGTCATCTGTTAAATTATTGAGCAGTTTAATGGAGCTACTGGGCGAAATATCACGTAACTTGCTGTCCGTAAGTATCGTCATGCGACGACGTGGTAGCATTGGACTATTTGGCATCTTTTCCATGTCCCATTCCAAAGAGCTTTCTTTGCTGGGTTGATTAGGTGGGTGAACGCGAATCGGCATCGGCGAAGTCGTGATCTTTTCTATACCCCGTTCAAGAGATGTTTCTTGAAGGATTTGATGATCTACATTGTTGAAGTTCTGCTGGCTCGATGGCGAAATGTTGGATGTGGTATGTATGTTAGGCACTGAACAAACCGTTTTATCATTTTCCACTACCTTTACATCGTTGTTAACAGGTTCCACTTGATTCTGCTCTATTCTATTGAAACCAGTCTCTAGGTGAAGTACTGGATTGTTAATATTATGATCAACTACATCTTCGTCTTCGTTCAGGCGAGGAAATTTCAACGCTTCCTCTGACTTCACTGGCAATACATCTATGTGTTGGGGCTTAACGTTTTTAACGTATACTTTTTGCAGTAAGTCTTGCACCGAAGGTGGCATATCCTCTGGACATAATTTGGCCAGCTTCTTCTTTATTCGCAGGGGTACAATTGGACCTGTCGGTTCACAAGAGGAGGAGCTACTTTTTTCTCTGCGTTGCGGACGTGAGGGAAAGTGAGTTTCGTCTTCTTCGTCATAACATTTGTGCCCAAAAGTGCTGTTTGTGGGTACCTCATCGCGCTCTAATGATTCCAATTTTTCAACGTAGTCACGATCTGAGGATGTAGTAGTTAAAGCGACACGTGGTGTAATGCCCACTAATTCATCATTTGAATCGAATTCAACTTGCACCAGCATCTCATCGGTAAAGTTCCCGAACAAGTTTTCAATACTCTGCTCTTCGGAGCTCCCACGTTTTACAACAGTCACCGGTTGCGCGCTAGGACTCTTGCTAATAGTCGTACATAAAGAGTCGTCTAAGTCTTCTTCCGGGTGCCCTGTATCGTTAGAATATTGAATTTCTTCCATTTCTTCGACCATATTTTGAAAGAGTTCATCCACATGCTTTTCTTCAACGGCTGATTCGTTTTCAAGGCAACTAAGAGCCAAAAGTGCTTCTTGATTTAACTTTTCTGTAAGTGAAATATCTGACAGTCGTCGTGTAGTATTAATACTAGACTGGGAGCTACGGCGAGAATTGCTCAACGACTTGTCGCATCCTGTCTTCGGAAGATTTTTAATATCTTCTAACACAGGACGTGAAGGAAGAGGGTCTAGAAGAGTGCCTTTAATAGGAAGAGGTTCATTAGCTGTTACTGCTTCTGCTGCTGGAGCTCTAGTATTTGCACTTTGTAGCTGCTGCTTCGCCGCAGTGCCCTTATCAAGCAAATCCAAGATCTCAAAGTCATCCGGTACTGGAGACACCGGTTCTACTACACGCATTTCCGGCTTTAGATCATTATCAGACCGGCTGATTATATCAGAAACTTTATGTGGTTTTTTCTCACGATTAGCTTGCCGTGAGCTGCTTATTTGTGCTAGCTCCTCTAGTGAGCTGTTTACTTTAGGCGCCCGCACTGTTTTGGTAGGTGACTTTTTCTTATTAATCTGGGACTTGCACTTATCTTGTGATTTGCATGTCGTGACACCAAAAAACTTCGCTATTTTCGAATCACGATACTGCACGGGCAAGGTGTTTTGTGTCATATCCTTTTCCTTCTTTTCTTCCTGCTGTGCATAGAACCTGTTCCTTTTCTTTTGCAGAAAATTTGTTGCCTCATTGCGCCACTCATTACGCAAATAGTCCATTGTTTTCTCCAGGTCACTCATAGAATCACCAGATTGCGAGGCCAGAGATTCACACGACCGATTAAGGCTGCTTAAATTACTTGTGTTGGACTCCATGCGACGAAGTTTAAAAGACTCCGTTTCGCCCGATTTTACCGAGCTCATAGATTCAAAGCGTTTTAGTATGTTTTGCACTCCACTGGGCCGATCGCCAGACTCCTTACAAAATTTCGCTTCGCTTCGAGGCTTTAAATCAAATTCACCCTCGCCCAATGACTTGGTCTTCTGCAACTTTTTGTTCGGGTCACGCCGTGGGAGCCCAAGCTCCATCCCAAGTCCAGTCTCCTCAAGTATACGTTCGATTTTATCAGAAACATCGCTAGGCGACTTTTCGCCATAGAAAAGTTTTTGATATTCAGAGCTGGGGGAGCGCACTTCACCATCGCCAAGTATCTCGTTAAGTATACGTTCGGATTCTTCAAGGGCTGGTGGAACTGTAACCGTTGTATCCTTTTGAATGGTTTTGGTCGCTCCAGCAGCTGCCTTTTTGGTTTTGTTTCCTTTTGGCACAATCTTCTTCACAATTTTGATCTTACCTTTTCCAGTGGTTGAAGCCTTGGCTAACGTAGTTGTATTAGACGCCTTGATTGGTGCCTTTTTTGTTGTTAAAATATCTTTGCTGGACTTCTTTCCGCCTGGCTCTATTATTGTTTCCTTGACCGGAGTCTTTTTTTTGCTTAAATCCAAAGCACCATCTAACTGATGCTCACGCAAGCTAAAGGCTTCAAGAGATTTTTGACGTTGAGTTGCAGCTGGCTTACTAGGTGTAGTCTTTGATTTGGTAGTAGCCTTATTTGGCGGAACGCACTGTTCTGTTTGTGACCTTTTTAGGCGATCGGCCACCGTTTCCACTGTGCGTCGTTGCGGCGCTGGACTAGTGGGGAAATATTTGGCCAGATCAACATCTTTTAGGGTTTTCTGATTCTTGTTGATATTGGCCGCACTACATTTTTCCTGCTTTTGATTAGGAAAGTACTTGGTGAGATCAACACTAGGTGCTGCCTGAGCACTCACAGTGGGCATGACCAGCTGTGATTTGATGTGGTCCATGGTACCGGCAAAACTTGTGGCCTCAATCTCCTTAAGCTTAGTGCTCATACGAATATTTGGCAGCGGTGAGGAACGAGTTGATTTGACATCGTAATCTGGATTATCGCTAGACTCTATGCTCTGTTGGTGCGCGATATTCCCAATTTGCAGTTTACTCCCACGTGAACTATTTGAGCTGGCATTACTTTTAAAACTATTTGAACGACTAACTTGACCGCTCTTGCGTTCTTCTTTGGGACTCAGCTGTGTTTGCTTCAGAACGGAAGTGGGCATTGATTTTTTTAAAACTTCCTTTGGGCTTTCATTAAAATTAGGCGAACGAGGCTTTAGCTCGTCCAAATTAAAGTCAATAATTGGTTTAGGTTTCGACTCAAGTGTCGAAGAGAGTGGGCTTACAACTTTTTCGTATTTCTCATCGAATTTGGATTTTGGCGTTGAAGAAACAGGACTCGGCAATTGATTCTTTGCAGCAATGGCAGCATTTTCAGCTAGCCATTTCTCTTTGAGCGTTAGTTTGCGCAATATGTCGCTTTTCACTAGATTCTCCTTAGCTAGTATTTCTAGATCCTTGTTCATCTTCACCATGTTATTAAGATGATACAATTTTTCGCTGATGGCTTCAATTTCGCTGCTAATTTTCCGAGGTGCATTTCGTTCGAGCTGCTCCAATTCAACACGTGTAGGACCAGGAGCAAGAGGCGTAGCGGGCTGGCTGTGGGCCGACTCAAAAGACTTGGAAGAGTTAAGTGAGCTCCGCGTTGACTTGTTTACATCTTCAACATTTTCTTTGTTTTCTAAAACATTTAGTTTCTAATCGATAAGATATAATTTATTTTTAAATGAAACCAACACCATATGATAAGGGTTCAGAAGACCAAAGCCCAATGTGAAATAAAATAAGAATATATCAAAATTAGACTTTTCTAACCACAACCAAAAAAATCGTAGATGAAACTTACCTCCGTTTCCGTGTCTGTTGGTAAATTGGCTGGAAGTGGACGTAGACGCACTTCCTCGCGGCGAAGTTCTCGCGCTTTCTTAAACTCTTCGCCTTCGGTATCGTCCTTGCCGTCGTCTGAAATTAAAATCTTTAATCACCAGTAAAATATATATATTTCATTTTCTGACCTGCAATTCCCTCACTCGAATCGTAGAAATCATCTGAGTCATCACTATTTTCATAGTTTTGCTTCCCTATCCAATCGGTCGCCAACTGGAGCGTTTGTGCACCAAATGGTGAATCGTCCGCTTCTTCAAAAAGTTCCGATTCGGATTCTGTGTCCGACTCATCCGAGCTCGACAAATCCGACTCGGAATCATTATTGGATTCAGGTAAGAAGTTTCGACCAGACCACTCGTGCTCGTCAATAATTTCTGCCTCATCGTCGGACTTGGCATCGACAGAGCCGGAAGCAGACATAGGGGCGCCGGAGGTGCGTGAGGATTGATGCACATCAACTTGATCTGCAGGTACTGTAGTATCCATAGGCTCGATGGTGTCCGGGGCCACGGTTGCGGGTTGTGTTGCAACAGGAGTGGCTTGAGACGTGGTCGATTTCTGCAACGAGAATGAGAATACCAATCATAAGTACAGGCAGCTTGTACTTTTGTACTTAGTTGAGCATAATATAGAAATATAACAGAGAGAACTCTACAGTCGAGCAAGCCCGACAGTGTAATACCCTGTACCCAGGTAAACTTCCGTCACTGAGTTATATGAGCCCATAGCAGCAGCAAAAAGAGGAAGAAGAAGAGCGAACTTGTTGCTGCAGTTTGGGGGGTTGCACTGGAGAGAATTTGTTTCGCAAATAACTTTTCTTAGAAATGACCGAATTTGATCAAACTTAAAAAAAAAGTAGATAACTGTATATAGATTGCGTGTGCAAAGTTTGGCTTATGTAGCCTTTGAATGGACAGTATTGACGAAATTCTGTAGCGGGGGAAGGGGGGGGGAGGGGGGGAGGGTGGTGGGGAATTCCCAAAAAAAACAAAAAAAAAATAAGCTCGACCTTTCTCGGACCTAGGAGAATCTGGATACCAACTTTGGTTATTCCAGCTTTTATAGTTTCTGAGATCCTCGCGTCCACGGACGGACAGACGGACGGACATGTCTAGATCGATTTCTCTCGTCATGCTGATCAAGAATATATATACTTTATGGGGTCGCAGATGCTTCCTTCTGTATGTTACATACTTTGCAGAAACCTAATATACCCTTTTTACCCTACGGGTAGTACAGGGTATAAAAAAAACATAAAGACAAAATTTATATAAATTAAATAAACCAAATTGTAATAAAAAAAACATTTTTTCGATTAATCCTCCTTTTGCATTTTAATTCACATTGAGGCTATGTGTGTCTTTTCACGTCTATGTGTGCAGTAAAAAGTTGGGCCAAGCAGCAACAAAAACAATAGTTGCTGCAACGTTTGGGCAGAGATTACATTTATGGCTATAACTTCCTTTAAAATTGGCTTATCACCATGAAACTTGAACTACGGACACATAAATACTAAAAGGATGTAATGGCCGAATTTCAACAAATTCTCAGAATTTTGGGAATTATCACTAATAGTGGAGGAGAACGAAATTTTTCCAATTAACTTTTGCGTATACATATCAGGCAACTCTGTGCAAAATTTGGTGTCTCCAGGTCTCATAGGTTCTGAGATCTAGGGGTTCATACGGACGGATAGGCAGACATTGCATTGAAGTGCAGCCTGTAATTAGTCACGAATTTAAATTCGTTATACATCTATGATGTATACATACTTGTATAAATGTGGTCAATTCTGAACACATACTAACTAGGATAAGATACCTACCTTTTTGGAACATGGAACATTGCTATTAGCAATTCTACTTACACGTGCTTTGTTGACACGCTGCGGCAGCGGTTTGGGCGGTAGGCGGAAGTGTTGAGTACAATAAAATCGTCCCTGGGGATCGTCACGATCGAAGGCATATCCGCCCATGCGCAAACTCGTATGGCAGTGATGACATTTGAGGCAATTACGATGCAGAACCAGACCTTCAACGGTTGTCTTCTCCATGAGGTAGACAGTTTGTTTGCAGAAGCGGCACTTTTCGGAGGCGGCCTGTTTCTTGAAGGCCAGCGCCACCTTTGAGCTCTAGGGAAATGGACAGTAAGGAATTAGTATGGTGAAGTGGTATGGCAGATTAACACGTAAACATGTACCAACAGGGAATATATATCTATATATATATATACAAATGAGTGTGCAGGTGTATGTGTTTGAGTGTGTATCGGCCTAAGACAAAAGCTCACTATCAACAACACTGTTTGGAACACGTAGGAACTTACAGGCGTCGCACCAAAAACAAATAAACACAAACCCATAAGCAAAAGCAAAAACAAATACCGCATAAACAATAAAAATAATCAACAACGCAAAATTACTCACAGATTTAGGTATGACAGTAGTGTTGGTGTTCGTATTGCCACTAGTCGCATTTTTTTCATCCGAATTTGGTTCATCCTTTTTCCCAAATTGGCCTGCTATGGATGCCACTTTGTTGCGTCCACGTTCACCTACGTCCAGATTGTGTCCCTCTTTAAGCTGCTTGTCCAAAACTTTCAGAGTTTCATCGATTTCCTTAAACTTTTCAGCCTCACGTGAGTCTTGACGCTGCGGCTTGGACATTTTGTGTTGACGTGCTTGGAATTGTTCCTTGCTCCACTTGGGTACTTTTTCACGACCCTTCGGACCGTGTATTTCCGTCTTTTTAGACTGTTCAATCTTTTTCTCAATCTCGCGTACGTTCCAATCACTCGAATCGATTTTGCCAATGGCGCGCATTAAATCTTTGGGTTTCTTATCACTGCTTAGACCACCACGGCCCTGCATACGCTGTTCCATATCCTTGATGCGGTCGCTGAATTGCTCGTCAGCACCGTTACGCGGCATCGCTGAAGGAATGTCGCCGCGTTCGCGATCCTGCGCATCATTTCCGGTTGGCGTTGGGTATATAATAGAATTTGTTTGTTTTTATCGGGTGTCAAGTGTTTGTGTTGGGGCAGGCATTTAGAAAATAGATTGGGTTGGAATTTGTTGAAGAAATCAAAAGATTACGATTTTAATATTTCATTTTTCAGGGTCTTTTGTACATAAACGAAATAACTTAGCAAATCAAATTATAAAATGATCACAAAACAATTAATGCTAAAAGAGTTACGAAAGCGCATTAGTTTAAGACAACTAGGACACGTAAACTACTGCATAATAGGACGTTAAAAGATCTCGGTTGCTTTATATACGAGTATAGACATAAAGCATATCGCAGTAATATTTAAAGTTTGACTCCAACAGAAGATCCACCGATTGTCAGAAAATACGGCAAATATCGATCACCCTCAAAAAGCACTTCCTAAAATCGCAAATACATTATATACTTGTATTATCAAAAAAGTTCTCGTATATATAGGTTTCCATTTACACATTGTTTATCAATGCGAATCTCGTCGATGCGAATTTAGTTTAATTATTTTATTTCATATTAAAAACATATTTGAATCCTAGCAGAAATAGGCGTCAAATTCACCAAGTTTCTTGTTTGTTTTAGGTTTGTTCGACGGGATATTCGATTCCTACTTCTGTTTTGTGCTTTTAGAAAAAAAGGCAAACCTACAAGTATATCTTAAATATATGATTTGCATTATCTGGGTAAGGCATTTATCTATCAACGTATAGTTGACATCACTGCGTTCGTGCGGTTAACCGGACTTAAAGCGCGTTTGTTAGTTTATAGAGAATCAACAACAGCCGGTTAGTGAGATTAGAACTGCGCATTCGTTTATAAACACAAAAGAATGTTCAGCCAAGGGCAAGAAGCTTCGTGCATTCAATTTTCATCTTCGGTTTGAGCGGCGGCAACAACATTGAAAAGCCAACAGACAGTCAATCAATCAACCGAGCAATTGTAACTGAGTAACATTTCGTTGCTTACGGGAAACAGCAGTTTGCGTTCGAGCTCCTTAACGCGATCATTAAAGACGGGCGCCTGCTGGCGATAAAGGAATATCGAGTAATCCTCAAAGGGAGTACCATCTTCGGCAGCTCCCTCGCGCAGCAAATTACCGGCTTGCAGCATCTGCAGGCTTTTGTAGAAATTCTGCGTTTGATGATAACGCGCCTGGCGCCGCTTGCTCATGCGCTCTTGACGATTCTCCTCGATCTCTTTCAAACGCTGCTGACGCTCCTCCTACGCGGCAAAGTCGTGGGTCAACATTTTGACAGATTTGATAAAAACCAGCAGGTACGGATGTATAATTGCAAATATGTTTGATTGTACAAGTAGTTTATGATTTGCTAGGTTTCTTCTTATGATTGAGACATATAACGTAAACTGGGACTAAATGACTAATACTTATAGGTTGGATTAGTATGGTTTTTACACAATGTGATTAAAACGCGACACAATCGACAATGACTTAGGACCACTTGGACACTGATTGAACTGACCTCATTGTATGCGAATGCACTCATGACGTTACTGAGTTCACGAAAGAGAGTTGTTTGTAGTATGAGTTGAACCTTTTTAATGGATTGTTTTGTTTTGTTTTTTTGTTGATATGACAAAAAATTAACAATATTATAATCAATTCAGTCGTGGATGAACAAATGATTGCGTAGAATAACAAGCGATATACATATACTTAGTATATGCAAGAGATTAAAAATAAACATTTGAAAAGTGATCGTATTTCATATACGTTAGACAATTTTCTGTGTAACAGGGCCCATATGTGTTTTACATACATACATGGCAATACTACATGATATTTTATCCAATTCAAGTTTTGATATAGATATATATTTCAGTGAAATTACAATAAATTTTGTATTTGATCACTTTTCAAACCGCAAAAATATGTGCGTGAACCAATCCATGATTACGGTAAAAAATCTACTCACAATGTTGGTCGATTTGTCAGCTTGGCGACGTTTCTTCGATCGTCGTGGCGTTTCATTTTGAGCTGTGAGCAAAAAAGTGAGTGAAATGGAATCAGTTAGTATAAGGTTAAAAAGAACACTTGACAAATTTTTAAAATTTTTCTAATATATAATTTTCTTCATGGCTCTATTAATATATACACGTACATCCCAAATGATTTGAGTGCATATGTATAGTATATTTTTTAACAAGAGAGAACGCTACAGTCGAGCAAGCCCGACAGTGTAATACCCTGTACCCAGGTAAACTTCCGTCACTGAGTTATATGCGCCCATAGCAGCAGCAAAAAGAGGAAGAAGAAGAGCGAACTTGTTGCTGCAGTTTGTGGGGGTTGTACTGTAGAGAATTTGTTTCGCTAATAACTTTTCTCAGAATTGACCGAATTGGATAAAATTTTAAACAACTGTAGACAATTATATATTAATTATGTGTGCAAAGTTTGGTTTAGGTAGCATTTGAAATGTGGACGCTATTGACGAAATTCTGTAGCGGGGGAAGGGGGGGAAAATTAAAAAAAAAAAAATAAACTCGTCCTTACTCGGACCTAGGAGCATCTGGATGCCAACTTTGGTTATTCTAGCTTTTATAGTTTCTGAGATCCTCGCGTTCATCCAGACGGACAGACGGACGGACAGACGGACGGACATGTCTAGATCGATTTCTCTCGTCATGCTGATTCAGAATATATATACTTTATGGGGTCGGAGATGCTTCCTTCTGTATGTTACATACTTTGCACAAACCTAATATACCCTTTTTACCCTACGGGTACAGGGTATAAAAAGTTTAAATGCCACTGAATCTGAATGAGATTCGTCAAGAAGTTGCTAACAACTTTTCCAATGTTTTTTTTTTCTAAAGCTCTTGTTGTAAATACTGCATACTATATGTTCTTGTTTTCGTTTTTTTTTTCAGCTAAATACGATACTTGGCGTGCAAGCTGCCACCTTTGCCACAATGTCAAATAATAAAGACTCGTCCATCACACGCAAATGTACAGTTTTATTTTGTAATACACTTTAAGGCAATTTGGAGTAGCAACTTGCACCCGATTTAAAAAACATCAAGCTTCTGAAATATTGTGTATAATGGTTATCTTCAACAGACCCTGTTGCACATTTGTGCCGATTGCGCCAGCGCCGGTGCTAGCAGCGTTTGTTCCCGCCACATTGGTGTTCATCAACTGCTCGTGGCGCCGCTGACGCTTGACTCGTTCATCGTCCAGCACCGAGCGTCGCTGTACAGTTATAGGTACATCAACGGCATCCTGCATGGGTGACTTGGCCTTTGGCTTCGTGTGCAACAGCTTGGAGAAGTCTGGCTGGGCATGAGCGTGATTGATGCGGTACTTTTGCCGAAGATCGCTGAAATCCATCTTGGGATGCTTGATGTGCGGTATTTCACCACGAAACAGTTCGCAGATCTGGTCCAGATACTGCAACCACACGCGTGACTCGACATCCGTCAACTCTAACGACTGTTTGGCAGTCATAACGCGATCAATGTGCAGTTCACGGTCCAACACGCCGAAAGCCAACTCATTGCACTCCAACGGGCTCATGTCTTTGACTCCTGCCAAATCGACAAGATCGGGTCGGTATCTGTAGATTGAAAATCAAAGAAAGGTTTATAAATGTTGAATTTTTGCGTAGCATTCCCCTTCTATATAATCCCAGTTATATTTTATAAAACCTACCGATTAATGAGGGCGCATAGTACTCTTCCATTCCTGAATATATCTGAAGGCTCTTTGAGTTCAGGGACAAAGCGATGGGCATGGAGTTGCGCACTAATCCAACGTAATAACGTAGCACCTTGTGGCAGAGAGTCTGCAAAAGTGATGACGAAATTAAGACAAATTTAGGCTACTTGTCAGCAGAGCCAAGGCGGAAAAATATAAACAGAAAGTAGCATTTTGTTGTATAAAGAAAAGGCCAAAAAACCTCTTGAAATGTGAAAAACTAATTCATATGATTTTTGAGAAGATTTTCAAGATTGACAAGGCAAAGACTCACCACCACTTCGCCGCTTGCGGCGTCCTGGCGTTTCAACATGCGGTGCGTGTAGCGCATGCGTGTCCATAAAAGTCTGCTCCAGTATTGCTGGATCATCGGTATCAATCAAATGCTTAACTTGCCAGCTGTTTACCGACTCGCGATTGAGGTTCGGATAGCGTGTTGCCGGGTCTACGGTATAGGCGCTAATATCACGTTGTAATGTATCTGGTGTTGTTTGATTTAGAAGCCGGTAGATACTCTCGCGCTGGGCCAAAACACCGAGGGCACTGTTCTGTGGATTAGCCCACAGTTTTATAGCATAAGCCGCATCCATACTACTCAGAAAACCGCGGGCGCAGCCCGATCCCGTGGGCCAGAAGGGTTCCAATAAACTGTCGCCCACCAAGCACTGCAGTAGACGACAGCCCTTTCGCACAAGCACGCGGCAGGACATTTCAGCAGCAAACATAGATGTAAAGTCAAACATGGCTACATCTGGCTTGCCATAGTGATTGACTGCAAATTCAAGATTAAGCATCTGATACTTGGTAGAGAACTCAGCTGCTTCGCGCGCATAGTCATGCAGTTTTTGGGTGTCCACATTGGCAGGCGCCAACAACTCTGCAGGGTCCGCCATATCCTCGATGATGACTCCCTTATCGATAAGGCTGTGCTTCTTAGCCGTCATGACGAAATAATGCGTCTCATCTTTGTAGTACACAATGTTCTCTAAATCAATGCCCGTTCTGCCATAGAGCTCCTTGAAAAAGGCCTGATTGAAAATGAACGCCACGCCACTTATTTCCTCCACCTTAGCCTCCGCCTCGGTTTTCTTGTTTATAAAGTTGGCTGTGATAGCGATGGCCAACTTGCCGCGAAACTCTTTGCGTCGAAAGTCCAGCATGTTTCGCTTTCCATCGGCGCCGACAAGCACATCGAACTCATAGTGCGAGACAGCATGATCGGTTGGCGTAACTGCAGCTTTCCAGCCACTGCCATCGCCGCTGGGCTCAATTGCATGCTCGAATGAGACGCCCTCGTGTATCTCGACCCCTAGAAGTAACGCCACCTTCAGCAGCATACACTGAAGCTGCCTGATGGAAATGTGATCAATCGAACCAGCACAGAACTTTCCATAGAACTTCTTTGCGCCAAGATTTCGCAAATCTGTTATCACAAATGGCCACAGGTGCAACACATTGTTGCGCGTGATGCGATCGCGTTTTTCCAGCACCACCACCTTAGCACCTAGCAATTGCGCCTCAATGGCTGTGCGCAGGCCGCAGGGTCCGGCACCAATGACCAGGACGCGTGTTCCAGCGCAGGCATTAGCTTTGCCATAGACACGATGTGCTGCACGGGCATCGAATTTCTTCCACAGTGCCTGCGCCTTCCACGAACGCACTTTGGCCTTCAGCTTTGGATAGAAATCGTTGAGCGGCGACGGACGCAGTCCCACTGCATCACACATAGCACGATGTAGGGCCAGTATCTGCCGCATTGTCGTCGCCACGCATAGCAGATCGAAGAGTTCGGCCGCCTCCGCAGCGGCCGCATGCTCGGCCATGAGCAACGCCTGCTGTTGTTGCTGCTGCGTTGTCAGCAACTGTTGCTGCTGCTGGTGGTGCCGTTGCTGGCGGCTCATGCTGTAACGAGAATAAAGGCATGTATTAGATAGAACTTAAGAATTTTAAGGCCGACGTAAAAGTGCCAAACGATATTATTTAAAATTTAATGTTAGTATAATTGCCTTTTTGTCAATTTGTTGAACAGCGTGGACAGTGCACTCACACCGCCCCGTTAAACACACACGCACACATATATAAAATTTGCATTAAATTATCTCATTTGTTTTCAGTTCCGTAAATAAATTCAATTTGACATATTTATGATTTACAAGTTCAATGTAAAAATCGCGCCAATCTGTCACCTCGTTTGACGTTCTTTTCTATCAGTTTGATCATCTATTTATAGATATTTTATTTCTTTTCGTGACAAATAAGTTGAACAAGCCCGACAATTAAATATCGTCCCTTTGCCCAAAATAATACAAATTCTGCCGTTGTGATATATATTTTGGTTTTTATAAACGCACACAAAAGAAATAAAATAGTGACACACAATTCACAAAACAGTAAGTAAATAAATAAAACACGAGATCACTAGTTGTGTCAATGGTTTTTGAACATGACATGGCTAGATCGATTGGCTGATCAATAATATATATAGTGCATATGTTCTTTATGGGGTTGGAACGGCTTCCTTTTGCCTGTTACGTACATTTGTGCAAACTACAAGTATACTGTTTATATTCATCTCCAGTACAGAGGGTATATCAATTTAATAAATAAATGTCAATCTATAATCATCTCGACATAAGAAATCAAAATCATATTAATGACTGTGTATCCTTGGAAGTGTGAACTCCTATTTATGTATGTAGATGATGATGAATATTGAAGAATTTCATTTACGTTACTAGGCAAAAAAATTATTTATATCGAAAACAATGTTATCATTACTCATGAATACATATTTTAAAAATGGCTGTTGGAACTATAATAATACTAGAGCTAACCCAATTAGTTATTTTTACACAATAATCTTACATTCGCCACTAAGTTTTGTATTGTATTTTCAGAATTGCCGTTGAATTGAATTGCCATATTTGAAGAGGATCTGCTGTGGTCTAAAGCAGTCTTTAAAGCAGTCTCTGCCAATTTGCATTTAATTTCTTTCTTTGAAATGTCAATTGGAAAGTACACCAAATGGCACCTACAATATTTCAATCAATTAAATTACAAAAAAACTTATAAAGCAAAATTTAATAGTCGGATATAAGCAGCCGGCGGAGATTACTCATACGAGTGACTAATAAAGGCAGTGCTAATGTAGAAAGAAAATGCAGTCACAAAGCGATGAAAGGAAAAGTGCGATTCCATTTTAAAAGGGAGCATACATACTCGTATGTGTAGCACCAACAACTGACAGACTATAAGCCATTAAACGACAGGCAGCAGACAAAGACTAGAGAAATGTCAATAAAGAGGCAAAGTTTATACTATGCTTGAGCTTCCTAATATGAACTCTAGACATGCAACGACCTCCATTGCAGAAGCTCGATTTTAAATGGATGACAATGGACACATTAATTCTATATTTAAATGTGAAGCTATACATGCGAAAATTAACTTCAACATATTAGGTGTTTCTGTTAAAAAAAAAAAAAAAAAAAAACACCGACCGAAACTTGGAATCCACAATTAAAGGATATACAAGGTGATGACAAGCTTGTTAAGTTATCAAGGACTGGCGCTGTGCATGGTATGTCGACTATGTCCAAATACTGGGACGTCTGCTGCTAAAACAGTCATTGCTCCATTTTGTAAGTCGAATGACCCGGAATACAGTCCTGTTGTCGACCCCGGCAGAAGTAAGTGGCGAGTGTATATTAGCTTCATTGCCACCAGCTGCAGGAAACGTGGGCTACTTTATTGCACCGCATAAATACACATACATATAGAAAAACACTTCAGAAATTTGGATTGTAAGCACCGTGTATCAATGCGTTGGTGCAATATCTGCCATGTGACCAAGCGGGATAGACACCTATAGGACCTCGCTGGCAGCATGAGCTCCATCACAAGCCAGCGAATAAATGTTCCGGAATCGGGGCGACAATATATGCTGATCCATTAGCCCAAGTCGCATCATAAGTGGTGATTGACTTGAACAAGTCGACTTGCCTATGGCTGGGGCGCTAACATTTTCTTTCAGAATGTGCTCTACGTAGCTATTTATTTCCTTGCGCAGGTCGGAAATTACAACCTCATTGATGGAGTACCATTGATTCCGACGAATAAAGAAGCCATGAATCTCACCCAATGCAAGTAAATCTCGTACCAACGGCTGGATGCGATCCATTGGAATTTTATACAGATCTGATACTCGTTTTGACACTTCACCCACTGTGGCCGGACGGTTCATGACTTGAAGAGTCTCCAACACAACCGCGCTGTTCTGTTTTCCCAGGCTCAATGGGTCCATTTTTATTTTTAGGGGGTATAAACTTTGTAAAATGAGGATAAGCTGAAAATATGACAACAAATTTGTATGTTTTTTTGGTTTTTCCCTTGCGGTCGAGAAATGGAGTGAACAATTTTTTTTTATTATTCTATTTGTTCCGATGTGAGTGTTTGAGAATTTTCAAGATAAATAAGGCGATTCAAAGTGATGTCAGATAGCTCTGATAGTTCGGAACAAAAATATCAAAGCTTACTCACCATATTATGTTTGTTAGATTGACCCTAATAACTATTTATATGAGAAGGGCTTGTAGAACTAACTAAGTATACTGCATGATTTAAGCCAACCTTTAAGTAACAAGATTTTGAATTCCTTAAATTGCTTTGGGGAAAAAAAGTAATCGAAGAGAAATTACTTATCCAATTATTCTTATTCTCTTCATCAATTTATCACTTTTGCGGCCATTTATTTTAATGTCTTTTTTATTTGATGGATAAAATGAGAAAATTAAATGTTTTCTTTTGACTGGAATTTTTATTTTCAATAGTTCTTTTTTGTGGAAGGGCCTTTTAATAGTTCTTGGTATTGAGGTAGCACGCTGATAATGTCATTCTATATATTAATCTTTTGACTTCATATTGGTGCCTATATATTAATGTTGTTTAATTTATCCAAATAAGTAGAAATGTAGAATGGACCTTAACTTTGACAGTAAGGCTGCTTTTCAGACATTTCCATCAATTGTAGTTGTTATACACAACGTCTAAGTTCTCATCGTGCATTGAAGTTGTACAAGAATTCGAGTGGCGCCACGAAAGTCATAAAACGCGCACGCTCATCGGACGAACAACCATTTGGGCCAAGTCAAGCCCTCCCCCATGGAAGCGAATAAAAATGTAGCAAACGCGCAGCAGGGAAAACAAATGTTTGGCGTAGGGGTTCGGCGACGACCTGACGCTTGCTGAATTGCCAACTGGCTGTCCCACTGCCTCGTTGGGTGACTAGATGCCTGGCTGGCGACTTGGACAAGAACAAATGTTGGGCGACACATTGGGCACAGAACGCATTATGTCATGGCGGTCGATGAGTGGCAAAAAATAAAATTAAACATGAGCATTAAAGTTAAAACAGGACAAAAAGTTAAGCGTGTATTGATTTTCCTTCAGGGGGTCTCTCTCAGTACCATTTTGGGGTTATCTGCTTTGGAACAATGTTTTGTTTGTTGAGGCAGGGAACACGTGCCAGACAACCAACGAGGGTGTAAAATACGCGGCTGCTCATTCGCTGTCTACGGATTTATGTATGTGAAAACAAACTGTTCCTTGTCAATGGGTTTTGGGCCCATGACTCATCATCAGGACGCCCACACAACGCGTTAAGGTCGTCATTATTTGAGTTTAGCCAGAATATGACGTGTAATTAGAATCATTTTGAACATTAGTCACAAGAACCCATGCATATTTGCAATTAATATTTGAGGAATTTTAATTTAATTGAAATTATGCATATGGCTCTTCTAAACCTAGCAAGATCAAGGCCCAAGCTTTTGTGGAATCTGTTTTTTTGCGCTTTCTTTCTGGTTTGTATATATATACATATATATATATATATATATATATATATATAAAATTGCTCGCGTCAAAGCTTTTGGCGTCGGGTTGGTTTCTTTTCACACGCGTTTGCGAACAAACGCCAATCAAATATAAAACAACAAAATATTTATAAACACAACACAAAACTTGGCTAATAGCCAACTAATATAATATATTTCATTTGTCTAATAACATAAATGGGCATTCATTCATAAGCAATCAAACAATTAAAATAAAAACCACAAAATTACGATGCTTACATATGTACCTATGTATGTACATGTTTTCACATTATTTTTTCAAGAGCTTAATATCTCACTTTTTGATTGATTTAGTCACCTGTATGTTTGGTGTTGGGTCTTCTGCTTTTTTACAGTTCGGTTGGCTGTAATTGGCTCTGGTTTGTTTGGTTTTTTGAAATAATAATCTTTTCTTGCACAGTTTATATAACAACTTGGCTTCTTTTAATAATTCGCTGCGTTCGTTGCGCCTCACGAGCAGGCATCGTATTAATGAAGTTCTACCCATGTGGCTCATTCGCTTTTAAATAATTTTTCAATAAAGAAAGATCCCTGTGCCCCTTAACAAAGATACAAAGATTCGATTCTGCAGTCATACTGTCGGATCAGGAAAACAATGAAAATGCAACAACAACCACTGACAGTTCCGAACAACAACAACGACACAGTGTGAACTGTGCTATATAAGGCAAAACAGCGTAGAAGAAAGCACTACACACCCACATACTTGTACATGAACCCACTGAAATTATAGATATTGTATCTACACATACGTCGTACAAATGTTTTCACAATCAACAGCCACAGATAATGTGAGTTATTAGCGCTGTTTACGTTTGCTGCGCCAACAGTGTCGATAAGAAAGCGCCGAAAAAGACAGTGCTCAGTGGGAACTTTCTACATTTACGTCCATATATAGTATGGGTATATGGGTAAAATTTATAAAAAATGTTTGTGCTTCTACTAATGCATGCCTACAAGTCACGTAATTTACCTGCACAAAATTTATATTTGTAATTTTATATAGAAATAAGTAACAAATACGTGCTCACCATTCAGAAAAAACACCTCGAAATCATGTGTAGTAGTTGTTTATAAGAACACTTTAGAGAATTGATTTTCACCAATATTTTGAACACCAACACCACCGAATACACTATCGCCATTTTCTCTAGGTACCCGCCTGATGACACGATTAAATCTATATCTGCATTTCGAATGGTATGATTTTTTGGCGTTAAATACATTTGCACAAACCCAATATATTCTTTAGGTACAGGATATCAAAAAAAATGTACACGTAATGCTCAGGTTTCTTTTATTCAACCCTGTTTACAAACTTCTGGTCACACTCTCGTATATCAATGTACTTGTATGTATGCCGTGAAATTAAATACAAGAGAGAACGCTACAGTCGAGCAAGCCCGACAGTGTAATACCCTGTACCCAGGTAAACTTCCGTCACTGAGTTATATGCGCCCATAGCAGCAGCATAAAGAGGAAGAAGAAGAGCGAACTTGTTGCTGCAGTTTGGGGGGGTTGTACTGGTGAGAATTTGTTTTGCTAATAACTTTTCTTAGAATTGACCGAATTTGATAAAATTTTAAACAACAGTAGATAATTGTATAGAAATTATGTGTGCAAAGTTTGGTTTAGGTAGCATTTGAAATGTGGACGCTATTGACGAAATTCTGTAGCGGGGGAAGGGGGGGGAAATTAAAAAAAAAAAATAAACTCGTCCTTACTCGGACCTAGGAGAATCTGGATGCCAACTTTGGTTATTCTAGCTTTAATAGTTTCCGAGATCCTTGCGTTCATCCAGACGGACGGACAGACGGACGGACGGACGGACATGTCTAGATCGATTTCTCTCGTCATGCTGATCAAGAATATATATACTTTATGGGGTCGGAGATGCTTCCTTCTGTATGTTACATACTTTGCACAAACCTAATATACCCTTTTTGCCCTACGGGTACAGGGTATAAAAAGAAAAGTTCGGTCCTATGACAAAAGGTGTATGATGTAGTGAACTGATTATAATAATAAATTATGATAACAAACTATTCACAACTACGAAAAAATATTGAGCTTCTGATTGATATGTCAATCGATATGAATTGAAATATAGGGACTGTCCAGTTTTCTCCTCCTGTGATATTCATATGGCGTTATCTTTTTACCCTTTCGGGTACAAGGTATAAAATGCCTAATTGGTGCAAGAATTGCAAAGAATATATTAAATATTTGTGAGCACTAGGAACCTAAACGAATTGCTACAGTTTCAAGAAAACAATTTCGAAAATTGTCAACTGTTTTCTAGATTTTCACTTCATAACAGACCTACGTGCACGGGTAGTTCGATGCAAAACATTCTAACACACTGCATTATACAAATACTCAAGTATACATATTATCTTAACTTTTCGTTTATACACTCGCTATTCTTAGAACGGCAAATCGGGTCAGCTAACATTATCAAAAAATACAAACAACAAAAACCAAGCATTTTGGCAGAGAATATAAAAGAGTATGTGAATCAACTATATGCTCTAAAAATAGATATTTAATTGATTTGAGCATTGTGTTACACAATACATATTTAATGCAAAATCAATATCTTTGTCATACCGCATCCAAATACATAATAAATACTATTTTTCCCACTACAGACTCGACGTTTTAATTTTCTCTTGGAGAGAAACATGTTTGCTGTGCTAGCCCGCTTACCACGCCCACTTATCCTCTAAAAGGGCTGGCATCATTTGCTGCTGCGTTCGCACAATGAAAGACAAGCACACACCCCCGTCAGGACTGAAGCTCAAGTGTTAATACACAGTTTTAGCCTGGTTTAAGCTTTATATCACATACGTTTTTATGTAGGTGCATGCCTTATAGAATAGAGATGGGGCCATTGTATGGTTGCGACATAAACAAAGCGTTGTTTGGGTTCACCTCTGGATTGCAAAAAATATGCACGGATGCAAATAGTAATAAATTTTTAGTATTTCGATTTTGTATACCTTGAATCCGATAGATGAAATAGGCGGTTTAAATTATATATCTATATTCTGTACATGAAATGTATTTGTTGAAAAATGTAACAGGCACAAAGAATTTATATTTTTGATCATCATGATAAGTCGATCCAACCTTGTCTGTCTGTCCGACCGCATGGTCAACTATATGTCAGGGGACAAACGGAGGTAAAATCGATCAACATATTTTTTAATTTTTCGAATTTCTCTAATTATTCTATACACATGTACAGAGTATTTTAATGTCGAGACCCTCGACTTAAGTTTCTCCACTTTTTTTTCTGATATTATAATTGAATGTTAAGTTTTACCAGCATGAATGCAGGTACAACAGTTTTGCGCATAGCACTAGAGCAAAAATTGTTCTCTAAAATGATGGACTCATCCATAAACCAGGCACTTTAGGCGGGCGGGCATGTCAAGACCGAATTTTTTCGGCTAAGAATATCTATACTTTATGGGGACGCAGATGCTTTCTTCTCCTTGTTACTTTGCAAAAACTAATAAGCCCTTCCTACCCAGGGAAAAAAACTGTATTTGATAGTGATAGTGTTTGTGATATTTTATACAATCACGCGGCCATCCCTGGCAAAAAATGAATGCAAACAAAACATCATGGCTGGGTGTGCCTTTCGGAAATTTACATACCATAGTGTTTCATATGCACCACGAATTCGGGCAAAGAAAAGCCTTTTTCACTGAACGTAAATTGCAAACCACATTTAGTAACAATTTGCATAAATTGACCGGATTAGTCGTTTTGGGCCTATTCATTTTTAAAATATAATTTGCGTGTCGCTGCACTTACTTGTTTTAGTCGTTAACACGGTCGTGTGGATCTGTCATATATGCGGCACTAACTGTAAATAGAAAAAAGCAATCTTAGTTAAAAAGGTAGAAAGAGCTGCATACTATATGTAGATACATATGTATGTATGTAAATACGAATATATGCTATTAAACGTTAATTAATTTGCGTATGTTCACACCATTTTCGAAATATTGCTGCCGGCTGCAATGCCATTTCAATGTGAAGGCCAATTAATGATAAAGGCGGCAACAAGCTTAATTGACCGACCATATGCGGAATATATCAAGTGGGTTGGCCCAACGGCCAAACTATGCTTAGCATACAACATTTATAAATGTCTCTTTTTCTTGGCTTGTGGCCGTTTTCAGGTTTTTGTTTCTATTTCGTCGTGTGGGTGCGGAGACAATTCATGAGCCACATTGATCAACGCAAAACAGAAATACATGTGTACATACTTGTATGTACTATACATCACCATGGGCGACTGTCCATGTAGTGGCGAAAGCACCAGCACATGATGTCAGCACACTACACTAATATCCCCTCAAAAATTATGAGCAATTGTTAAGCAAATAGAAGAAAACGATACAGTCGAGCAAGCCCGACCGCGAAATATCCTGTACCCACTGCAACAAAAAAAAGGACTAAATTAAATATATTTTTTTTAAATTAATTAAAAACAGTAATGGAATGTTAGAATCTAGTGGGATCAACTCTTAAATACCCTATACCTACTCCTAAAATTAAATTTAATAAAGTTCAATACATTCATGTGCAGTACAGAATTAAATCAAAGCAGAAAGAACAGCAGCTACGCACATGGCTATATCGACTCGCCTTGTCGTACTGATTAAGAATATATATACTTTTGGGAGTCTGTCTCTCCTTCTGTGTGTTACATACATTCGCACTAACTAATATAGATTTTATCCTAGTCATAATTATAAACAAAATACCACGCCTGCTTTTAGTTGTTAGATACATTCGTATAACCTAGTATAACCTATTATTCCTGGGTATAGGGTTTAATAATGTGTAGTAAGGTGGTAAATAATTGCGTTGGTCAATTTAAGATTACGCATTTGTTATAATTATTATGAAATGTTAACTTAAAGTAGTAACTAGTAAGCTAACATATTGATAGTCATGACTGCCAGTGTCTTCATGTGGTTGGGTACATTGTACGATGATAACTTAAATTTAAATGTCTACATTTTATTTATTAAGATCTTAAGTAGTGCTAACGTATTTAAAGTACGATTTGAGCTAAGGATGTGGCATTTGAGGTCGCCGGTATCTGTGGTTGGAGAAGGATGGGCAGGACTAAAAATATGGTGCATGTTGTTTATGGAACTATGACAAAGTTGGAAAGCTTTTTCTATTGTCGGATCGATGTAGTGTTGTGCCCCAATCTAAGTGTTGTACATTTTATTTGGTCGAGTTATTTTCAGGCTTGGTACTTTCTTAGACTCGATAGTTTAAAGTATTGTGTGACAGAATTTGATTTCTGTTTACTTTGTATGTACCTAGATAGTGAATATTGTTTAAGGTGCTGACTTTTGTCCACTTTGAAAACGTTCGACTGTCACTGGGCTGGTTGCGATGCCCATATATGTATGTACGTACTTGTACTCCACGCCTCCTTCGGCCTGTTACATTTTTCACTTTGCACATACCCAATATATATCTTGTACATTTCAGGAAAAGAGAATACAATAGTTGTTGTGTACGTTTGCAATGGCGATTATGGCTGAGAGATTATCATAGAAAAGTGTGTGGCTTTCTGGTTTATTTATACATATCATCAAAATGATATACATTTTGTTGCTTTGACAATCGGTTATATTTCACCAGAGAAAACTGTTGAATAATGGGTGGAATGCCGATTTGAAATGGGCTGGCTTTGGTTGCGAAGCCAAATCCTGTGGATAATTGAGAACTTTTTGTAAAAACACCCAGATTCCAAAAGGAATTTTTGATGGTGTTTTCTATTATATGTTGTCAGACTGTACAGCCTGCATTCAAAAATATATAATCACAAAAAACATATAAAAAACGCAATTAAAGCCGATGAAGCACCTGTCTCAAATTTGTTAGTAGTTTCCACATTCTTTTTCACTATAACCTCTCTAAAATGTATTCAAAGGCAGTACAGACTCGAGACTTGGTCATAAAAAGCTGCAGTAAAAGTAAACTTCAAAAACAAACAACAAACAGCGCCTGCAACCTCGACCACACTAACAACAACGATGATGCCGACGACGACGGCAACAACAAGAAATTGCAACTGCGAAAAATGCGCGCCAAAGTCGTTTTTCACCCAAATGCAGTCAGCGCACGAAAATGGCATTAAAGTCAGACCAATGGCGACGAATAAAACACGCTGCCAAAGCCCAAAAAGCACAAAACCTATCACAAAAGCATCAGCAACAGCAACCACAACAATAACAGCATTGTACCGCAAGGCAACAAGAAAGAGCTGCGAGTCAGGTAAGCGCACTTGGCCAAATAGCTGCTCGGTAGCCGCAAAATCACGTGGCCAACAACAACGACAACTAACAGTCAAAAGGCAGCACTGCGACTGCGCGTCGTCGCCGTCGCCACAGCGTCTTGTTTGGCAGGCAGTTGGTTGCAATGTTGCAATGAATGAAATTAGACGTTGCCATGGCACCAGGAAGGAGCAAGGGGGAGTGGGGGGCCAAATAGTTAGAAATACTTGCACCTAGAGTTTTGGCCAACTACAAACGAGTTGTGGCAAAGTTGGCCAAGTGTGCAATGGCAAGTGTTCAGTTATTTTTATATGCACTGCTACGGTGGCAATAGCAACAACAGCAACAACAACAATGACAAGTGGAAATAAGACTACAAGTATGATAGAAATATGAATGCAAACGCGAGGGCGGGCGAGCGGTCGGTTGTACGGTTAGGAGGACAGGCCGGAGAGGCGCCCCCTCTATAGGGCTAGTCATGAAAATTGCCTTCCAGTTGGCAAAGCGAGCATTCGCCTTAAGGAAATCCAACTGGCGGCCAACACCGCGCCGCTTTCACTTGCGCCACCAAAGCATGCGGTTGTGTTTGCTGTTGGGTTTACTTCGCATCCAAAACGTGTTTGCTTTACTCTTTGAACAGGCTCGTAACTTGTTGGCCTGCCTGCTGGCCAACTTGTTGTTGTGCCATTGTTGTTGTTGTGTTTGGCACAATAAAGCCCAGCAACATAATCACATCTAATGGGTCAAGTGGACAGTGGATACAACAGCGATTTTTGTTATCTTAGTTCTAACAAAATGTATGCAATTTAATAACACGGCACATGCCAAATTATAATTTGAAATTTTTAGCAAATTTGAAATACTTGTAAAACCACATACTACAACTATATACTACTGTAAACATATAATACCCTATACGCCCTGAAATCCAGCGGATGGTTCTTCTTCTTATTAATAAGTTGGCGGCACTATCACTGTCAGCTGTGTCAAGTGTCGCCCGATTTTCTTCATTGTATACATAGTACTATATACTATACTATATCTGCAATTTTGCAACGGTTAAATTTTGTGTAAAGAATGGAAAACTGTAGCAAATGGTTCAGCGCGAATGTTGTAGAAGGTTTTCTAATCTGTCAAAAACACACTTTAATTTAATTGAATTATTTATTTATTCATTATTATTAGAGAAGAATACTTAATTCTTATTAAGAAATACCTATGTAGGAGCAAAATAATAAATAATAAATCTCCAAACCGGTGGGTTCAGGTGCCAGTCCGGCAAGCTATGGTCAACACAATTTTGAGAGAACTTTTGTGCTTTGTGAAAAATCTCTTTTGGTTCGTGACGATTTCGCTAAGAACATTTTTCCACAACTTCAAGTAACATATTCGACTAATTTAGTTCCGTAGGACTTCTGGTTATTTGATAGGATTAGGGAGATTGAAGCCAAATCTAGGAAGATACTGAATACTATTCCAGAAAACGATTTTTGCTTTGAGGATTGGAAAACGCATTGGCATATGTGCAATGCATTAACAGGGAATTACTTTAGAGGTGATAATATAAATGTTAATGAACAAATTAAAAGTTATAACCATAAGTCCGGATCATATTTGTATGCAGTAGAACATGTGTGAATGTAAATTTAAAAACGAATGGTCCGCCAATATTGGACAAGCAGGAAATGATTGATCGGGGTAGAAAAAGCTGGTTGAATACTTATGTTTTGAAAGTATTTTTGAATGCTTTAAGTGTCTGAAGAGTTCAAGATTAGTATTATTTTTATGAAATGTTAAGAGAACTAAGAGAAGACAAAGGAAAAAGCTCATATACGTAACTTAAGCAACAGCATGCGGTCGCTACTAATTCAGACCACATTGTACGGCATACGAGTAATTACACGGCGGCCTATCTATGCGCAATGCCATAGCAGTGCATCTTTGACCTTAAACACCTTTTAAAGTTAGATAGGAAGGCGTAAAAGCAAAAACGGACATCCAAACACAAAACCAGTTTAGTCTCTTTTTTCAGTTGCGAATTTCTTAGATAGTCAGTCATTTGCTGTTCCCAATATCTGCGTCAGGGCGGGAAAATATTTATAGATGACATCAGTGTGTGTGTGTGCGCGTGTATGTGTGAGTGCAACCTTATCGCCAGGAAATTAAATGAAACAGATAAACGCAGGCACTGCACTATAATCAATGTTTTTATGCAACAACAACATTGACCTCCAGTGGCTTAATCAGCGACGTCATCAGCGGGCAACAACACCAACCTACATAAATTTGATTAGGGGACCCGCACACACGCACAAACACACACACTGTAGTAATTAACATCTAAGCGGCGATAAATGAAATTAGCTTTTGTAAAGCGCATGAAGGCAGAGCCGGCTACGAGACAGTGGTGTAAAACGACTTATGGGTGGGGACAAAATTATATATGTACAACGCGGCGCATTAAATATTTCATTAAAGAACAAAATACCTACACTAATTATGATTTTATTGAATTTTATATTTTTATGTAATATGTAGAAATTGCTTCAAAGGCATTTTT